GAGTTCCTATTGTTTCATCTTTACTCTGAAAGGCACCTGACTGGTCCTTAGATGGTGTGTTTACAGCATCAGGATCTCTCCTGTTTTTTCCAGCAGCAGATGGAAACTTCTTCCAAGAAGACATTCTATAGCTACTTGTCGTTGAATCTTGACTTCTGGCCGTGCCAACCTCAACCCCATCAGCACCACTAATGTATAGATGATCATGTTTCAATGTCAGACAGGGTTGCTGTCTATCTGATTTCTTCCGCAGCTTATCATTTCTATCCTTCTCGGCAAGTGTATTGTTAGAGTCAATACTTTCTAACCCAGGGATTTTCTCTGGATAGACTCCAAGATCACTCAGCTTGTGAAGATTCAAAATGTGCTCTTCTACATAGCCACTCTCCTTCTGATATTGAACAAGTCGAGTGCAACGAGTCAAGATAAAGAGAAGGCGAGAATGAGCACGCTTAAGCGTACCCATTGGTAGTTCTTGTCTGCGATCATCCAGATCCTGAACAATAATCTCACACTTAAACCAAAATTCCTCTGAAGACATAGTTGCACACTGACGAGATATAAGTAATAGATCCTCCAAGCCCTCCCTCGAATTTGATTCACACTCTGTGCTTTTCTCAAGTATACAAACTAAATCTGCAGCAAAGATCCCCAAGTCAATGTTGACTTCCTCCTTCAGATTATCAAACTTTTCCCTGATCATTACCATAACTTCTTCCATATGACCAAATGCTCGGGACTTCAAAAAGGGATAAGGACGAACTCCCTTAGAGTTAAGCTCATGAGAAAAGCTTTTTACATCTGGTGTTTTCTTCTTACGACCACTTGTAACACGCAAAACAGCCTGGAAACGGGGAGACTGCATCTCCTTTATCAGTGATGCATTTCCCTGAAAAGATAAAAGCATATATGGCAAGAAATTAGACCAACTACATTAAAAAGAGATGTAGAAGTAGTAGGAGTCAAGTATTTTTTTATTTTTTTTTAAGCTGACAAAACTATTTGCAAGAATGCATCCATTACCTCAAGACCAGCATTTGTGGGTGATGAAAACTTAAGTGACTTCGACTGACTCCAAGTAACCTTTTTGCCTAAGAACAAACACATTCACCAAGTTAGCAATAGATACCAATACAAATGCTAAGTCTTCAATCTTCGTATTATGTTTGCCTCTAGCTTTTCGTAGATTTTAGCTTTTTCAAAGGAGGGGCTAATATTGCTGAGAAAAAAGAATCACAATAATCTTGTTCCACACATGGGAAATATGGTATATATTCCGAACTTTCACATTAAGATAAGCACATAATCTTGTAAAACACCATGATTGGACTCCTTATTCTAAATCAAAGTACCTGAGTACCGCCTTCCTTATGTACTTAAAAATACGAAACTAGGCATTGCTTTTGGAAGTTATCACTATATTACACCTAGGTAGTACAAAACCCAACATAAACTTAGGTCCTTACCAAATATAACTTCCTTAATACTTTACCAGCTAATTTAAGTGGCATTGACAAACATTCAACCCATTTTCACACCATAAAAATGCCAATTACCAGGTTTTTTCGCCCGAGTACTCAACAATCTATGTCATACAAACTAACTAAAGAGATCTCAAACAATAACATCCCATGAAAATAATCTAATTCCAATGCATTCCAATTCGAGCATCTAAATTCGAACACAAACAATTAAAATCAACACATAACAAGAGCAGATTGTTCGAAAAATTGAACAAACCTAGAAATTCAGCGGAAGAAAGGAAATTAATATCAGGAACAACAAACTTCTTCCTGGTAGCAGCATTATTCTCTCTTCTCTCCCCACTCGCACCCTTACTACCTTCATCCTTGACAACATCTTCGGAACCCGACTTGCTACTATTATTAGCAAGAGGAGAACCCGCTAACGACGGGATTATGATAGGAGGAATAGATCGAGTACGAATACAATTCAATCCAAGCACAGCCGGCGCAATCGGAGACGCCTCATCATCTCCATCTTCGCCATTTTTATAATTATTGTTATTATTATGAAATTCAAATTCATCACCGTCATTACAAACCCTAACTGGGTTATCCGGAACCTGAATTTGGGGGAATTTCTTGAGTTTGGTTTTCGTCGTTTTGGACTTCGGGGTCGTAGACGGCGTGGAAGCGGTGGTTGAGGGCGGAGAACCGGTCATGATTAACGGTGGCGGGAAATTAGGAAGGATAAGGGTAGAGAGAAAGAGGGAAAAAAGGGGTGTTTTGTGATATGATCGACATTGTTGGAATGGGTTGAGTGGACTGAGACAGAGGAGAGAGAAAGTAAGAGAGAGACCGTTAGAAGGAGAGAGATGAGATGAGAGAGATTTTCGCGGGAAATGGAAGGGTTGAGGGACACACGTAATGCGTTTTATAACCAACGTGCCTGCCACGAGCATTTGTGCTTTCCCACTAATTTTTAATTTTATGTCATCTTTACATTATAATTAATATTCGTAATTAGCTCGATTGTTATATACTCCCGGGTGTTCCGTACACCCAGTTAATTTAAGGTTAGTCTTGCTATTCATTTGATGAATAAAAGAAAAACAATCATCAAAATGAGGACAAAATACGTATGGGTGTACGGTACACCCGGGTATATATAACAAATTATAATGTAACTCGGGTGTTGCATCGGATTGCTACTATTTTTAGTTTTGCAATTGTTAATTTTTTAAAAGACATTTAATAGTTTATGTTTATGTTTATGTATGTTTTCAAATACTTTTGTAGTATACATAATTTGTGTGTAAGATTATAACATAAGTGACAATTATTTAGATGGTTAAACAATGATTTTTCTTTTTTTAGGCGGAGTGTCCGAACCTTTTCATCCATATATTTTTTATAATTTAGTTGAGGCATCATATAGTGTTATTGCTTGTTGCATAGGTGACGTATTGACGTGGCGTATTGAGAAATTGAGTATATGACGTGGCGCAATGAGGAGTCTACGTGGCACATAGACATTTTTAGCAACACATTTTTATATATTAGTATAGAAGATTGTACAGTAGATATATAAACTTTTTCATATTGATCAATGTATTGTATATTTTAAAGGTTCAATTAATGTTTTGAGATGTGTGATACTTCAATTGCTGCCATTAATAAGGAATGGTGGAAATATACTGATGAGCTCAAGTTGTTGCTTGTGTTGCATATGTGGATTAAAAGAGATAAGATTAAACAAAAAATAGATCTTGCTCTTAAGGGAAATAAACCTACTAATTTATAAGGGAGATGTAGGCTAATACAAGAATCAATGTACATTAAAAAATACGTACTTATAATAAGTATAATATATAATTAAGACGTTTTTTACATTTGCTATCCAATATGTCATTTATCTACTCTATTTGCTCTTTTTGTATGTATTTTATAACTTTTATCAAAAGCTAAACACAACCAAATGGGTGAACTATATATCAACAACGAATTCTTGTGGCGAAGACCCTTTCCACTCATTTATGAGTATTTAACACATTGCATGCCAAGTAACAAATCCAAAAATCTTTATTTGATCTCCCCAATTTTTATGGGTTTGAATTAAATTTTATTATGTAGTGTCGCTTGATAATTGGCATATGTTGGTTTTTGGGTAGTTTCCTAATGAAGTAAGTCAAAAACTAGTAACCTGTGACACTTCACACTTAGCTTGAAATAAGACACACTTTAGGGTTTTGTGCAGGTGTGTCATGTGTGAAGGAAGGTGAAGGAATAGCTCCCAACTAGCTAATCAGACGCGAGCCCCTCCTCGGGCGGATTCCTCCTTTTGCTTCTCAGTTCCAGATCCAAAAATGACCCCTCCCCCGAATTTGAATTCTTTCGGGTTGTGAGACACAGTAAAATTTAATCAATATAACAATAAATTAAAAAGTTCCCCAAAAGACAAACAAAACAAATAACGAAAACAAAAAAAATTAGAGGGAGGGGTCAAACCGAAATTTCTCAGCGGATGAGTTTGTGGTTAGGGGTGAAATGCCACTCGAACCCAGAGCTAGCTGGTTCTCCCCGAAATGCGTTGAGGCGCAGCAATTGACTGGACATCTAGAGGTAAAGCACTGTTTCGGTGCGAGCCACGAGAGCGGTACCAAATCGATAAGCTCCACTTAGTTTTTGCGGGTACAAAACAAAAGGAGAACATAATTTGATGATCAAGCTTATGACAATGTGACGCAACAAATAAAATGGAGATCGTAAGAGTGAATTAGATGAGAATTCCATGAATGAAAGTTGCAATGAAATGGAAAATAATTAGAAGTTTATAGGCAATCACTAAAATAAAGATGCTGTAAATTGAACAAAGTACCCTTTAGGCTAATCCGAATGGCTCAGTTTTAGCATTTTGGGTGGTTTAAATTCCAATCCTCTCCCAATAATAATTCTTGCGAGGGGATGAAGATACGATTTCCTTCATTTTAAATGTATCCCCAATCATCATTCTGTAGTTTTGGCTTATCAGCTTTATTAGTAAAAAATCGTTTATAAACCCCTTAAAGGATTAGGCCGTCTTTGTAATAAACCGAAACAAAAAAAAATTAGCGTCAAATTGATTACAAATATTTAATAACATCCGGTTTACACTAAATTAGTGTAAATCGGGCTAGGCATGTAACTTCATCAACTCTAAGTCATGGAGTCACCGCCGAAGTCAGCCGGACCACCGCCGAGAAAAACACCCACCGCCAAACCACCAACCTTGTCGCCACTCCCAGCTGCCGCGCCACCATCGAACTCCCTTAGCATCTCCCAATAATCCGGCCGAACTCCGATCTATTGTTCCTTGTAGATCGTCATCTCAAATTTTTGTAAAAATATAAGTCATTTTTGTATAAAAAAAAAGGGTCACTTTTATAAGAAAAAAAGGGTCACTTTTATGGAAAAAAAGGTCAACTTTGTGAAAATATGGGTCACTTTTATAAAAAAATGTCACTTTTATAAGTAAAAAAGTCACTTTTCGAAAAAGTTTTTGTAAATTGATTGACCTCTGAATCAGCTGCCACTAATTCACTCTTCCTGTAAAACGCTGCAACTCGTCTTCTCCAAATACCTCGAAAATGGCGGCACTAATCATCTCCTACTCCAGAAAATTCTTCCGACCGAAGCCATTTTTACACGGCATTCAAGCTTTCCGAACATCTGCTGCTACTGCTGATGCTAAACAAACTGGTCTTTACGGTTTCTCTCATTTGAAAACTCCCAAAGGTTTCCAGCGTTTCGTCGACGATGCTATCGAACGGTTTGTAATTCTTTTGCCCTAATTTTGATTTTGAAATTGAATTTTGATTTCAATTTATTGTATCTAATTTAGGTCTGGAGAGCTCATCAATTACATTTCTACTATGCCTTCATCTGCTGAAATCATTCGCGCTATGGATGAGATTTCCGACACTGTAAGTTTAATTTTCTTGTAATTTAGGGTTTTTTCTTGGATTTCTTTTTTTTTTTTTAATTTTCTTTTCTCGGATTTGTTAGGTTTGTTCAGTGGTGGATTCAGCTGAGTTATGTAGACATACTCACCCTGACAGGTGATTTTTGAAATTTGTTATTATTCTTGGAATCTTGGTATATTTGAAGTTAATTTTATTAAAATTGGAGTGACTTTTTAGGGAATTTGTGGAGCAAGCTAATGTTGCATCCATGAGAATGGATGAATATCTACATGTGAGGTGACTTCTAATCTATTCATTATTGTGGTTTATTATTTTAATCCTATGTTATCTGGTTAATGTATGGATGTTTGTTGAATTATATGGATCACGGAAACTTATATGTTTTGCCTACCCATTGAAGAAAGTTTTCAATTATTTCGGCTATCTTGACCCTTGTGATTCAAAACTTAGAAAGACGTAAATGAATGAATGTATGGTTTATGTGGAGTTTGATTTTTCTAAGTGAAATTGCCATTTGTGTGCTCCAAGCCTCCAATATTGCATGATGAATAGTTGGCCTTTCTAATGCTAATGCTTGCACATACATCGCTTAACAGTTGACAATCCTGACATACAATGAGGAAGTTCAAATTATTTATAGCAAAAAGTTGTGTAGAGTACTAATTATGAATTCTATATGTTGTTTAAAAAAAAAAAAGTTTACCATGTTTGCTAAATGAAAAGTTTCAGAATAATAGGTAAATAACTACTATTACATGGTCAATTATGTTTTTGTAAAATTGAAATCGCAGAAAAAGGGTGACAAGCTGTGAAAATCTAAAATAGGAAACAATTTTACCACATGTTGCTGACATTTTCTCTCTAAATCTGTGTAAGGCTGCTTATTATTCAATAATATCTGTATTCCACACTAAGCCATAAACCAGTGCAGTGAGTAATTTTGACGGTCCTAATTAACTATAATATTCCCTGGTTGGGCTTTTCGATTAATTTTCATTTAGGGAGCGATTGGTTTGATGTAAAATATTTTCATGGAAAGTGATTTTCCTATCTTCCCTCATTTTCTTGTGTGGTTTGTGAAGGGTGAAAAACAATTTTCCCTCAATGGAAAACAGTTTCCTCTACAAAAGAATGGAAGCCACATCTTCCTCTCTTCTCCTTACCTTTTTTTTTCTTTACTCATCTATCTTAACCTATTCATCCCCAATTTCAATTTCTTTTTTACTTTTCTTGTAAGGAACAAACCAAGAAAAACTAATTTGCAATCATGGTTTTCCTTGAAAATATGTGTTCCATCGAAAATGTATTTTGTCATACCAAACGGAGCCTTAGATTTCCTTGAAAGTAAGTGGAGAAATTTATAAGCTAGAACAGGAATGCTTGTTAGTTTGCTAACAAAGTGGGAAGAAGGTTTACGAGGAGAGGAAAGAAGACTTGCAAAGTGATAGATATTGTGCCATTCAACAATATCTGCTAGCATGTCCTGTGTAACTGGAAAGATACTTCATGCAACCCTTTTAAAACTTTTGCTTATTTGTTTCATTACTCTAATTAATGGGTAATGCTTCAGAGAATTCAGGCTGTAGATTAGCTCATTACTGTTTAGCCCTTCACTTGTTTTTCAAATTATTTCAATTGATAACCAGAGCAAAAAGAGAGGAGCAAATTGTTTTCTTTGTGGTGTGCATGTGAAATGCAGTAATATATGTTGTACAAGATTCTGTAGAACGTTTTGGTTGGTTACTGATAGGTTTGTGTCATGTCCTGTTATAGGAGACTATTTTAAGAATTGTCTATTAATTTGTCTGCTACTTCATGCCAATTCTTGTTTGAACTGTTAATTGGTTCCGTCATTTGCTTTATTCATATCCTTTTACTATTGTTTTTTTTTTTTTAAATACCTGTATGTCTCGTTATATAATAACATCTGCACCGTTTTTCTATGCTGATTCCACCTCTTCCTATCAAATTGATTCTTCTCTTATCCCCCTTCCAATGGAAAACATGTGAAAAGACTCAGTCTGAAAAAGTTTTCCTAGCATTTATTCTTGCTACATAGTCTGTTTATTTTTAGTTCTTAGGCAAATCGTGATACTACCAGTCCAAATTATTCTTTAGGTGCCTGATCTTTTATAAATTTGCTGATTTGCTATTATTCTGTCTCCAATGGAAAACAGTATTTGAATACAAATCACTGTCTGTATAATGCTGTGACAAAAGCTGAGCTAGAAGGCAACATCCCCAACTCAGAAACCCAAAGGGCAGCCCATTATTTACGTGTTGATTTTGAGAAGGGAGGCATCCATCTCTGTAGTGGTACTTCACCTGTGTAATGCTGATTCCACTATATTATTTGTGTGGGCATATCTATTGACTTAAGGAACTGCTTATGTGTTTACATCTGCAGAAAAATTAGAACGAGTTAATCAGCTCAATGTGGATATTGCGCAACTGTGCCGCAAGTAAGTCATTCTATTAGTTAAACTCCTTTGCATTTAGTCTCTTATGTTTGTTAACTTAGCAGCAAAACAACCCAAAAGTACTTTGCCTCGTACACAAATCTTTAAGAGTTGTTTAGTATGGAAGCACTTATATCCATTATATGGGATTTGTGGGTGGAATAGTCAGCATTTCAGCAACTGTTTTGTCCAGTTGAAATGGCTAGTGGTAAAGTAGTAATATGATGTCAATGGCTGCTAGTTCTATTATAGTTTTGATTATTTAAAGGTTCGGTTTTTTCTTTCTTGGGGTTGGAATCACTTGTTAAAGATGGGAAAATTGACTGTACTCTACAGTCTACACCAGATGGTTGCAATTAGCACACATGCAAAATATTATACAGTCAAGGCGTTAACCTCTAATCCCTATACAAGGTTGAAGCTGAATCATTTGACACGTTTTTGTCTGTAAGGTTGGTGCATGGCATACTCAGTACTAGTTTGTGAGTTGATTAGACGAAAATAAGTGATGAGGATAACTTTTAACCCCACCCCCTCTCTAATGCAAAGAAGACAAAGAAAGACCTATCTAATAATTGTCCTTCTATAATGGAGTAAAATATTTTATCCTTAATTTTATGGAATAGTAAAAGAAGAGTTTAATGTGGATTGCAATTGATGGTCTAAGAATTTTGGAGAAACTCATTTATGTCCTGCTTATAACTGGGATTTGTTGGAAAGAGGGTGATATCACAGAATTTAAGCATGCCGCTTGTGAACCACTCAATTGATCTTCCTTGTATAGCTGTTAAAAAGTCAAAACCCTTGAAATAATGAGGTATAAATGTATAATAAGATGTCATCATGTAAAGATTTGATGCATCAATACTCATAGCATGAAAAGGTACAAATCAAATGTGACAAGAACTTTAGTGCCATGGCTAGATAAATTTGAAATTATAATTGTTATACCTTTATTACATATACTTAGGGTCACATGCTAGATGATTTGAAATAATCATTATACCTTTTATTATTATTATTATTATTATTATTATTATTATTATTATTATTATTATTATTATTATTTTTATTTAACATATACTTATAAATATAGGGCATATCTAATGATTATCTAAGGGAGGGAGTCTAATATAGGGATGTATTCTTCATTCTTTTATGTATGTAGATAATTCAAGAATATATTGAAGAAGGTGAGTTGTTTCAAAAAAAAAAAAAGAAGAAGGTGAGTGGGTGTAACATAAATTGGGATAAATGTAAGAGAGAGAATGTAACAAGGTGAGTGAGTATAAGAACAAGGTGAATAAAGTCATAGAGAATTTGTGAAAAAGAATAATTGTTGTGGAATTAAAGGGTTAAGATGGTAAAGACGGTAGTCCAAAAATAGAATAAAACAAAGTAAGTATTACTCCGTACAAAAAAAAAAGGGTTAAAATAAAAAGTGACAAAAATAGAAAATAATGGTTGGAGTACTTGCTTAGGGAATCAGATTGTAATTGTCAGTTGTAGGAGGCATACCTCTGATCTAATCAAAGTTGAAACACATTAGAGCAGTCATATAAAAACCCAACTTCAAGAAGCTGACTCTATCTTAGTACTTGTTCTTTTGCCTAGTTTAGTTAACGGCCCCTTGTTTTGGCAGAGCTAGAGCTTTAACTGTTTTCCCACTCATAGGCATAGCTTATATAGTCATATATGTCCTCCAATTCTGGCCAAGCTTTCACGCACAAGTTCATATCTGCCTGTTTTGTGTTTATGCATGTATTTCATTGTATATGAGTCCTGTGACACTGTTGCTCTTTAAAATTATTGTGCATGTTTCCATTATTTTTTACTAAGTTGCTGTTTAAAAGAATTTTACTTTTGACTTGTTCATGAGCTCAAAATGTTCATCAGGTTCAATGCAAATATTGTGGATGATCCTGGTTATGTAGACATATATCCTGCTAGCCATATTCCAAAGCGTATGCACCATCTTGGTACACCAATATATTCTCCAGCTGGATTATCAATAAAGGGTTTGGACGTCAAAGAAAAGGGATATCGAATTCCAACAGATCCCGTATCACTAACTTCTATTCTACAGTGGGTGCCAAATGAAGAGGTCTGGTTTTCTCTATCTGTGGCTACAATTGATGTTGTTTGTGGAATTTAATTTCAATAAAATTTATCTTGATAACACAAAACATAAATTCCTCTTGTTTCTTTTAATTTGTCTCTTAATTTTCTCTTTGTATTCTTAAACGGTGTTGGATTCCTGCCATTAGGTTTTTTGATAGGCAAAGGTGCAGTTCATGGTGACATGACTTATAATGAACAATGTAAAGAAAATTGCGAATTCATGATATATTATACTATATGATTATGATCGAGAGGACAACATAACCTCCTTGACAAAGTGAAGAATCAGAAAGCTAATTGGGCATGTTGAACATCCAAAAGTAAAAATGGAATCATCCATTTAAAAACACACAATCCCAGAACACCTCTACCCTACTAGGCTTATGAGGGAAAATATAGTCATTAATCTCTAGCAAAGGCAGCTCAATGATCCCAAATTTCTGACTTGCATCTTTTTGAAGCACTCCATCTCACTCATCACGAGGAGTCCAGATCCTCCATGATGATCCAATTCTTCTTTGCATTTGTGCTTAATATAGATCTGCACAGTATCTACTAAAACTTTTACCACTGACCAGTAGGACCAAAAGATGAAAAATAGAAGTATATGGGTTTGGTCCTTATGAGGAACTGTATATTGAAGGCTAAGTTTCTCGTCACATAGTGTTGCCAAATCTTAAGGAATATATTCAGTTATCTTATTTTTAACCATGTACAGGGTTTAATCCTGGAGATTGGACCCCCTATAGTGCTCATCTCAGAGACTATTTTGTTTTTAAACTTTATCTTAATCAATTTGTCTTCCTCTTGATATGTTCAATATTGAAACTCAAATCTGGTAAAGCTATTGAGATTTAACAATGTTACTTTGTATTTTAGGCATTAACCAGAAGAAAATTTTCTTTGTGCAATTTCACTTTGGTCATATAAAGCTGGATATTAAAGGTCTCGGAAAAGGTTGAGCTTGAGGCTAAACTGTGAATTTGTTGGAAAAGCTATAACTCCAAGATCATATGTAGATTCAGTGATGTAACGGGTGCATTTTCACAATCCATGTGTATTGTTGTGCTTAAAGAGTTTTGGGAGGGGAAATTTTGAGGTGGTGAGAGAGCTTCTACTGTAGTTTTTCTGTTATCATGGATGTTTAGTGGTATGCTTCTATCCTATTTCATGCAGTGACTTTGGCAGATTTAGAAGAAGTAAAGGGAGGAAGGCTTTTTGGGGATCCATATTCTTGGTTATCTTTTGGGTGTTGAGGGCCTTATGGCTACAGAAAACAAACATGGTTGTCAATCATTAATGTTCTCTAGAGGAACTGTTTTCTTGTGTTGTTATGGGCTTTGAAAGAATCTCTAGAAATATACTGCTGCTGGAAGATAAGGAGCCAAGGACCAAGGTAAAGATGTGCTTGTAGTTTCAATGGCATTGTAACAGTGAATCGTTTTGACAAATTTTGTTCCATTGAAGATTGGTACCCCTTGAGGCTATTAGTTTTTACCAGTCATTAATTAGGGCATCTCCAGTGATTTGGCTGGACTACTTGCAGCTTAACTTGCCATAACCAAAAATTATGGATATACCATTTTCTAGCTATAATCTTCTTAAATGGTAATCAACAGCACAAGTTCGATTACTCCAGATGTAAATCAATGCTCTCATTTTTTTTAAAATTGCTTTCCTTAAATCCGATTCAAGCAAGGTTGTTTGGTTTGGCTAGATAGTTTATTACAGCTACGCACTTCAATGGTCAAGCAAGTTCATCCGTTGGAGAATTTCAAGCAACAAAAGGTTACCATTGGATTTCGCAGTTCCAGTTTCAAGTTTAAATATGGTGTGCTCATAGCTGGAAGGAAAATGAGGATTTGATGGATGAGTGTAAGGGATCATGATGGTGCTAGAGAGGATAGTTCTTAAAGCACAATTTGGTGCCTGCTAATGGGCTTTTAGATTATGTGCTTAGATTTAATACCTTGAATTAAGCTGTAATATTTTTGCTAATAGTAGTTCCTGAAAAATGCTATATTATCCTTTAAATCTTAAGGGAAGTATCTTCAATGTACATATTTTTCCTGGTGGATCCATTTGTATCTATAATGAAGCATTTGCTTAAAGTAGCAGTCAAAGAGAGTAACAAAATTCCATTTTTTTTTTTTTTTTTTTTTTTTTTTTTTTTTTTTTTTTGCCGTGGCATTTCTGTATAATGTCTTGAAAAAGGTTATGAACAAAATCTTACTCTGTTTGCTATTAGGTGCGAAAACTTGCATATATTCAAGGAAACTCTGCACCTCATGCAAATCTCAATGTACTTGACAAGCTAATAGCTGCTCGTCATGAACTGGCACAGGTACTTCGCTTATAATTGTAGTCTTGCTGTTTTCCCTTTTAATATCTGGTTTAATTTTCCTTCCACAGTAGTGTTCAATTTGGTGAAGTCGTTTACATAAATTTGAGCATGTCTGTAGCTGGTAGACCTAGTCCATGTGCATTTAGCTGCTAGGGAAAGGAAGAGTCATGGAGCTTATATTCTCATTTATGTATTTTTATTACTCCTTAACACATTGGTGTCAGTGAAATAGCTGGAATCTAGAAATTTCTGCAGCTTGCAATTCGAATAACCCATTGCAAAGGACAATTGGAGAAGAAGTGAGAAGGGGGTGTGTGTTGGGCAGGGGGGGGGGTGGCGTTGTAAATACTTCTAATACCATATTGGCTCATGGATGCAGATAATGGGCTACAAGTCTTATGCTGAATTTGCAGCACGCCCAAACATGGCTTCATCAGCAGATGTTGTAATGTCCTTTCTGCTTGAGTTGAGTAGCATGGTCAAGCCCAAAGCTGATGAGGTATGAAGATTTCTAATTTGTGATTTGTTTTGGTGATTTTTTGGTTAATCTTGCACCTTATTGTACATTTTTATTAATTGGTGGCTGTCACTTTAGTTAGTATATATGCTGGAAGGGTGTTTTTTATAGCTTAAGGTAGCTCTTAAATGGAATAACAAAAGAAAGTTAGAAGTCTACATCAGTTTCAAACTTTCAAATTATGTCAGATTCAGACGGTGTGTTTGGTGGTTGATGCTTCTTTGGAAAACCCAATTCTTTCAATCTAGCATCAAATCATCTCCAGCACCATTACTTCCCACATTCTCCTACCCCCTTTATTTTATCACTGATGGCAAATAAGGTAATCATCACTAGCCACTCAAGACTTGGCAACTGTGTTTCGATACAGGCCCAATTTGCCCTTTTGTTTTGTCTCTTTATATTTTTCACGATGAGCAATTGGAAACAGGGTACTACATATTTATACATATTATATGAGGCTACGACTTTCTGTTGAGATTTATTGTTTGGTCTTGTATGACTCAATGGACTTCTATAACAAAAAGACTCACTGTCTATCATAGGAATTTAGAAAACTCAGATATTACAAGCAACAAAGGACTGGACAAATGCTTGAGGACCTGGAGCCGTGGGATGAGACGTACTACTCAGCAATGATAAAGGCGTCTACCTGTGACTTGGATTCTTCAGTAAGCTATCCCCGCCTGAAAATCTGAATTTTTTTGAACTACTCCCTTTGATTTCTACCCTGTTTACATTTCTCATTTTGAGCATGATTTTGTACGAATATATTGAAACAAATGTCAGTATACAAGATGTTTTTGATTTACATTAGTAATAATTTTTACTTGTAGATAGATATTTAATGGTTAAAATTCTGCATTGGCAATTGTGCTAGCCAATTGTTTTAATTGACGGGAAACGGAGGGAGTACAAATTTTGATTGGATCTCCTCCTGTTATATACTTCATTACATTATTTTTTTTATTTTTTTAGGGGGAAAGGGGTGGTTGGGGGGGGGGGGGTTTGCTTGGTTGGAAATACCAATATTTGGATCACTTTTTTGGATAATTATTTTTTTCTTTAAATTGCAACTTGGCATTAAAGTTGACCTGCCTGTTCTATCTACAGGTAATTGCTTCCTACTTTCCTCTGCTACAATGTATTGAGGGTTTGAAATTGCTGGTGGAGTCATTGTTTGGTGCATCATTTCATAATATCCCTCTTGCTCCAGGTGAATCATGGCATCCAGATGTTCTTAAAATGTCACTTCATCATCCTGAAGAGGTACAGTTTATAGAGGTCCATTGAGTCCCTCTGCAATTTATTTCTATGAATTCTGAAATTGAGATTTTTAAGGCCTCAAAGAAATTGGGTAGTTTAAATCAGTTGATAGTATCTACGAGCATGTCTTGCTTAGATTCTTTGACCTCTTATACTAGTAAGTTAAGATCATTTGAAAAGAGATTTAGGGTATCATATGGATGGGTAGTGGGTTGAGTAATTTAAAGCCAAAATTGATTCCAATGGTAGATTTTTGGAGACTGGATGGTTTTCATGAGAAAGGAAAGCCTTGATAGGCTGCTATTTGACTCATGGGCAGAGTTTAGAGTGCTGAGGAAGGTTGTTGGTGAGAAGGTAGGTGGTAATTATGTAGGGATGAGGCCTTGAAGGATCTTGGCCATGAGATTGTTGTCGCCACTGCTATGCCTGCCAGGCTAGTGGGCAATTAGGAGGTGACAGTTAGAGAGGTAGCCAGCAGTGTTGGGTACATTGTGGCTGGTAGCGAACTAGCGATTTTTGTAGGTCATTGGTCACTCATGCAGTTGATTAGGGTTTGGAGTCTTGCAAATCTTTGAGGCCGCATGAGTTGGTCAGGCGGTGTGTGCATGATGACTTGTGTCAGGTGGCACACGAAGTTGGCGACAAATCAGCCTTTGCGTGGTTTGATTTTGCACTTAACATGGAAAGGTATATCCATGTATCTGAAAAGTATATTTTTTTTTTCCTTTTCCGTGTGTGTGTGTGTGTGTGTGTGTGTTGGGTGAGGGGGGGGGGGCAACAGTTTGGGGTATGATGTTTCAAAGCATTCTGATTGTAGGCTTCTGTAGGGGTACTGATGGTGAGATCGATGTCATCAAGCTGGTAGGGGTTGAATTCCAGCGATGAATTTAAGGAACATTAGTCTGTGAGAATTTGATGTGGATGGATACTTATTGAAGAAACTTAAGAGTATTATTAGTTTCAGGTAAGTAGTGGATTTTCAAGATGACTTAGTTCCTATTCAGAATTTGGATCACTGGGCCTTGATTCTGATCGAAATCTCGGGAGAGTGGGGTGGTGGATGTTGGATATCACTGTTAGTATGGCGTACAACACTGCCTCAATGAAGGTAGTGGTTAAACTCCACCAGTAGATCAGTGTAAATCTTGGCTGAAGAAGGCACCATGCATCTGTCCTGCTTGGGAAACGAAGTCTAAGCCTTATCTATCTTATGAGTACTGATTTTAACCTACGTCACATTTTCCCCTAGGATTACAAATTGATATAGGATTGAAAAACTTTGAGTCTTCTGTCGTCTGTTAATTCTGAAGAGGTTGGTTTGTGGAAAGGTTTGCTTTTGGTTTGTCTAGACAACAGAGGACTTCTTGTTCTCTGGCTGCATTTTTCTAAATCCAGTCTTGTCATTGTATTGGCTTGTAAGGGATTTTTGACATCAGCTTTAGCTGGCCTAATCAAAGAAGGCTGGAATCTATCATCAATCAGCGCTGTGACTTTATGAGCTCTAACTCTTCTTTACTCATTATCCTGCATGGATTCTTGAGTATTTACTGTTCCCTTTTCCCTTGGGATTAGAAAAATGGATCTTGCAAGTGTAGCTCATACAGATTCTCATAATGCCCCCCCTCTTCTGTCTTTCCTGTTAATCAGAATCATGTAGAGTGTCCCCACTAAGATTATAATTTATTTCTTTATTTCTCTCTGCACCTAGAAATATGAATTTACGTTTCTTCTAACTCTTCTTTATTCTTGTTTGCTAGCACAGTAGCCATATATGAATCTTATATCCTGTCCTTTTTTAAAAAAAGTAAAAAATAAATCAGTTCTTTGAAGTCAAAAACAAGAAAACCTAGAGCAATGATTATGATGTTTTGGCCTAAGAATTCCATACTGTTTAAAAGTAACATGTTTTTTGCTGGTATAAGACATTTTCCCCCCCTTTCCAGATTACGTACTATGTGTTGTTGGTAAATGAGTTGATCTACATATTTCCTTTAAAAATACATTTTGTTTTAGGGTGATTTGGGATACTTGTACCTCGACTTGTATTCAAGGAAGGACAAATATCCTGGTTGTGCTCACTTTGCAATTAAAGGAGGTCGACGCATTTCAGAAGCAGAATACCAACTTCCTGTATGTTTTCATAGATTTGTCTGATTCATGTTCTCTTGTTCATTGTTATTCTATTGCCCTTTACCTTTTATTTGGCCTGTTTGTGTTACTTCTTTGCTGTTAAATGCATTTCTGAATTTGTTGTTTTAAATGCTTGGTCTGCATTGTGGGTTAAATTAGAAATTGAGTTCCTGTTCTTAAGATCTTATTCCTGCAGGATTAAAGGGAAAAAAAACTTTTTATTTTTTCTGTTCATGGTGCAAAGAGTTATGAATTGCAACTTAGCATTCATGCCTAGGTTTGTCATGAGTTTAGTTAAAGTCTTTGAACTAGATTACACGTCACTATTTATCCATATTTTGATATATGTTGTGCAAAGCAGTTGCAACGGACTCGCGTGGTCAACACAAATATAAGATCGAAGGTTGGAAATTAGATTAAAGCTTCAAGCTTGCAAAAGGGGTAAATATGGCTTTAGGCCATAACTCTCCATAAGTTCTTTACAATTTTCCTGGATACCCTTCTACTTCCTAGGCTGCACTTGTTATACTACTACTACTAGCATATAATTGGCAATACAAGCCTTAATTACTACATGTACTATATTTGGCATTTTACTACTTTAATCTATTACAAACAAATAGCTAAAGTAACTTGTCCCCTGCTGCTCCCCTGCTCTCTAACGGTTTGATGTTGTTGTTGGTGCGCTGCTTCTGTTTCTGCCTCCTGCTGTAGACCAAGGTCACGGGTTGAGGGGGAGGGTGTATTGCAATACCGCCCCCAAAAGACCCACCTTGTCCTCAAGGTGGAAGCTCGGAAAACGCTCATTGATAGTGTCAGCTTCTTCCCAAGTGGACTCAAAACTAGGAACTCCTGCTCATTTGATCAACACCTCCAATTTTCCATTAGGTCCTTCCCCTCGTCGCAACTCTAGCACCGCTTCCGGCTCCACCACTAACTCTAGCTCCGGTGTGAGTTGGTCGGGTATAGTGGGTGAACTTGGGACATCTCCAATAGCACGCTTTAATTGTGAAACATGGAAAACGGGATGGATACGGCAGTGATCAGGCAATTGAAGTTTGTATGCCACCTTCCCAACTCGTTGCACCACCTCAAAGGGTCCATAGAATCGAGCCGCCAACTTTTCAAATGGACGCTTTGCTAACGACCTCTGGCGATAGGGCTGTAGTTTGAGGAACACGAAGTCCCCCACCTGAAACTCTTCGTCCCTCCTCTTAAGATCTGCGTTCTTCTTCATTATGTGCTGTGCGCGAACCAAATTCCCCTTCAATTCATCAAGCATCATATCCCTTTCCCTCAATATCTCTTCCACGGTGCCAACGACCGTTTGCCCGGTGTCTCCTTTAATCAGTTTTGGGGGAGGTCTGCCATAGACTGCCATAAAGGGGGTCATGTGGGTCGAGGATTGGGGAGTCGTGTTGTACGAATACTCGACCCAAGGAAGCCACTTGACCTAAGTTTTTGGCTGCTCACTTGCGAAACAACGAAGGTAGGTTTCTAACCTCTTTTAGACCACCTCGGTTTGGCCATCCGTTTGAGGGTGGTAGGCCATCCGAAACAGTTCACGCCAAAATATACTCAGAAATATTCGGTCCCTATCCGAGACTATACTCGCGGGTATTCCATGTAGCCTCACTATCTCTTTGATGAACACTTCCGCAACTATATAGGCCGAGAATGGGTGTTTAAGCCCGATAAAATGAGCATACTTCGATAAACGGTCCACCACAACTAGGATAGTATCGACCCCCTTCGACCTCAGCAAACCCTCTATAAAATCCATGCTTATATCCTCCCAAATTCTCTCCGGAATCGACAATGGTTGGAGCGACCCCGATGGGGATTGTTGTGACTGTTTGTGTCATTGGCAAGCCAAGCAGCATCGAACATATTCAGCCACCTCACGCCTCATACCTACCAGAACTAATCAGCCCCTAGCTTCAAGTACGTCTTAGTTTCGCCGGTGTGACCACCCTCGGGGGAGTTGTGATAAATCTGGAGTAATGATTTTTTAGACTAGAATCCCGTGGAATTACCACTCTACCTTTGTAAAGTAATCTGTCATTTTCCACAGCATAGCCTCGCATTCCACTCCCACCTTTCACCTCTTTTTTTAATCTTTGAATTTCCTGATCCTTTTCGATTTCCTTCCTCAATAATTCCCAATCCACGCCTTGCGTGGTGAACATTGCCCCACACTCAGTCTCTTCCTCATCACTCCCCCGCCGTGACAGAGCATCGGCCACTCTATTGGCCACCCCGGGCTTGTATTGAAGCTCGAAATCAAACCCGATAAGCTTGCGGACCCACTTTTGATACTCCACTCCAATTTCTCGTTGTTGAGTGATGTATTTAAGGCTTTGTTGGTCACTCCTTATCACGAATCGCCTCCCCAATAAGTAATGCTTCCACTTCTCAACCGCTAGGCAAACGACCATAAGTTCCTTCTCATAAATTGACTTGCTTCGCCCCCGGGGCCCAACACCTTACTAAAGAACGCCACCGGCCTCCCCTCTTGCATCAAAAACGACTCCGAATCCGTACCCCGATGCATCCGACTCGACAATGAACATTTTGGCAAAATTGGGCATAGTGAGGACTGGAGCCGAAACCATGGCCGACTTGGGCGCGCGGAAAGCCTCATCCGCTTCCTCTGACCACCCAAAATTGTCCTTTTTGAGTTGATCGGTGAGAGGTCGTGCAATGTGAGCATATTGGCGAATGAACTTTCGATAATATCCTGTTAATCCAAGAAAGCCCCTTAAATCCCTTAAGGATTTGGGAGTGGGCCACTTGAGCATTGAGCCCACTTTCTCATTATCCACTGCCACACTATCTCTAGAAATGATGTGGCCCAAGTATGCCACTCTTTCTTTGCCAAACTCACATTACTTATAATTAGCAAACAACTCATGCTTTTTAAGAATAGCAAGCACTAATTGAATATGCTCTACATGATCATGCTCACTACCACTATACACTAATATGTCATCAAAAAATACAAGCACGAATTTACGTAAGTAGGGTCGAAATACCTCGTTCATTAACGATTGGAAGGTTGCTGGTGCATTAGTGAGGCCGAAAGGCATAACGAGGAACTCGTAGTGCCCCTCATGAGTTCGGAAGGCGGTTTTATGTGTGTCTTCCGGTCGCACCAAAATTTGATGATATCCGGCTTTGAGATCCAATTTCGAGAACACTCGGGCCCCATGTAATTCATCAAGTAGCTCGTCGATCACCGGTATCGGATATTTATCCGGCACGGTCTCCTTGTTCAATGCTCGATAGTCCACACAAAACCTCCAAGATCCGTCCTTCTTTATGACCAAAAGAACGGGACTCGAAAACGGGCTAGTTGAGGGTTTAATTATCCCGGCCGCAAGCATCTCTCCGATGAGCTTTTCAATCTCATCTTTTTGAAATTGTGGGTATCGGTATGGCCGAACACTCACGGGATTACTCCCTTCTTTAAGTACGATGGCATGTTCGTGGCCCCTGCTCGGTGGCAGCCCCTTGGGATTCGAAAACACCTCTCTGTGCTCCTCTAACACCCCTCTCAAAAAGTCAGGAACTACTTCATCTTGCTGCCCCTTTGACTCTCCCTCCAGACCGTTCATCTCCACCAATAACCCTCCACTCTCCTTCCTTAAGGTTCTCAACATCGCCTTCAGGGTGATTCCCGTGCGTGCCAAACTCGGATCACCATTAATTGTCACCTTCTCTTCCCCCACGACAAAGCTCATGCTATGCAACTTCCAATTAGTCATGATCTCCCCCAATTTCTTCGCACTCCCAAAATCAAATCTGAGTTTCCCAATTGAAGGGGTAAAAAATCCTCTTCCACATCGAATCCCTCTTTAAATGTCACCCGCACTCCTTGACACACCCCACGGCCTTTGACTGCTGCTCCGTTGCCCAGAGACACCCCAAAAGAAGTCGTTCCGGTGATCGGAATGCCTAATTTCTCGACGGTTCCGAGGGAGATGAAGTTATGTGTAGCTCCGGGGTCAATCATGACGACCACCGGAGTTCCTTTGACTACGCCAGTGAGTTTCATCGTCTTCGGATTGGTCAGCCCGACGATGGAGTTCATCGAGACGGAGGTCGGAACCTCCTCCGCGTCCTCCGGCGCTTCCAGGGCTACTAACTCCCTTGCTTCCTCCGTTTCTTCCTCCTCAACTAATAGCATGCTCAGCCCTTTAGCCGTACAGATATGGGTGGGCTCGGTCCACCGCTCGTCGCACCGGAAACACAATCCCTTTGCTTTCTTCTCGGCGATTTCTCTCTCAGTTAGCCTGCGAACCTCGCCGTTGAATCGGGTGGTGCTCGGGTTTCTGCGGCTAGGATACGGTTGGTTGGATTGCCGGTTGAGGCCACTGAAGATTGGGCTGACGGGGTTGGATTAGGGTTTGGGTAAGCTAGATTCGGGTTATAGGAGGTGGTATTTGGGTAGTAGGAAGTTGCATTTGGGTTAGTGCTGTAGTTGGACGTGTTTGGGCTGGGTGAGGGATTTTGCAAACTCGTGTTTTGGGCTGGCCTTTTGTTAAAGTATGAATAGGGTCCGGGTCGGTTATAAGCTACCCCATTCTTTCTCGGGTTGTTAACCCGATTCCTCTCCTCTACCCGTATGGCTAGGTCCATGGCATCCTCTAGGGTTAACGGGTTGAGCATACGGATCTCCGCCCTTATCTCCTTCTTCAAACCATTAACGAACTGACCTTTCATTAAGCTCTCAGGTATACCCACCAATGGGGATGCCTTCTCAATAAACAACCGCCGGTACTCCACCACCGTGGAGCATGCTCCACCGCCAACCGCTGTTCGTGTAGTGTTCCGGCGTTCACGGGTCGGAATTGGATAACACGCGCCCCTTCAAATCCTCCCAACCTCCCGGAGGTTGACGTCGACTTTCCCACTGATACCAACGTAGAGCATCTCCGTCCATTGCCACCACCGCGGCCTGGAGTTTCTCCACTTCCGTAAGGCGGTAGAACTGAAAGTACTTCTCACTCCGCAGGATCCATCCGTCGGGGTCAGACCCATTAAACACAGGCATGTCGAGCTTCCTAAACTTCCATTTACCTCGGCTCTCTTTATCTCCGTTGTGATAACGGTATTGCCCTCCAACTCCGGGCTCCCACGATCCCAAACGGATTCCGTTGAAACCTCCAGTTCCGATTTGCGGATCATTAAACCCAGTACTCCGGCGCGGTGAGCCACCACCAAGGGGTTGCGGCTGCTCCACCTCTTCGTTCATCGTGTTAGGCTGCTTTCTCAGGGCCTTAATGGCGTTGCGGATCTCTTCCATAACCCTGTCTTGTCGGCCCGTCGTCATGTTGACTTGTTGAACTAGGTCTTGCCGGAATCGATCCATTTTTCCCTCCAACGATTGCCGCACCTTATCCATGGTTTCATCTTGCTTCCTTAACAGGGATTGTTGTAGAGAATTTTCTCCCTCGCCAAGTTTCTCGAAAATTTCTTCCACTCTCTCTTCAAGCGCCGCCACCCTCTCCGGCGTTACGTTCAACGGTGTTGGCGGCATGTTCGCTCTGATACCAATTGCAACGGACTCGCGTGGTCAACACAAATATAAGATCGAAGGTTGGAAATTAGATTAAAGCTTCAAGCTTGCAAAAGGGGTAAATATGGCTTTAGGCCATAACTCTCCATAAGTTCTTTACAATTTTCCTGGATACCCTTCTACTTCCTAGGCTGCACTTGTTATACTACTACTACTAGCATATAATTGGCAATACAAGCCTTAATTACTACATGTACTATATTTGGCATTTTACTACTTTAATCTATTACAAACAAATAGCTAAAGTAACTTGTCCCCTGCTGCTCCCCTGCTCTCTAACGGTTTGATGTTGTTGTTGGTGCGCTGCTTCTGTTTCTGCCTCCTGCTGTAGACCAAGGTCACGGGTGGAGGGTGAGGGTGTATTGCACAGTTGATGTGAGATATGACAGATATGTTGAGATTTGTTTATTTGAACTAGCATAGATTATGTAAATAACCTAGAAACAGTTGTGAGACTGCCCTTGTTGCTAATATGAGCATCAAAACCTGCTCAATGTTTTTCTTGTGCCATATCTGGTCATGTTTGGTTTTATCAATTTTGTTAACTCTATTCTTTTGTTAATCAATAATGTTAGGTAACAAATGCTGTTTCTTAATATCTATCGTATACTTTAATTTTCAGGTTGTGGCCCTTGTCTGCAATTTTTCCAATTCAAATAATCCATCAACGGTGAGGCTTAACCACGGAGAAGTAGAAACACTGTTTCATGAGTTTGGACATGCTCTGCATTCACTTTTGTCAAGGACGGTATGCACTGTAGTTTCTTACTTTTTGCAATTTGAATATATATACGTTGGCCAGTGTGGCTGATTGGCTGTTCAAATGTTACCTTTTTTTCTAGGAATACCAACATTTTTCAGGAACCAGGGTAGCACTGGATTTAGCTGAAACTCCTTCAAATCTATTTGAGTGAGTAGAATGATTCTTGGTTTTGTACTATATATTCAGAGTTATAAAATGCTATGTTATATGGATTTCATCTACCCTAAAGTGCTTCGTTGAAATTGATCCCACATCAAGAGCAAATACCATTGTTATTGCAAGGAGATAGCTTCTGAAATTTAGCATGACTAGTGACACTTAATTTCCTACTAGCTCACAATTTTAGTCTCTTTTATGTTATCCTCATTGCGCTGTCTTCATTTGCTGCATGTCTGAACCTCATATATTTTTTTATGTGCCTTTCACTCTTTCATGCAATTATGGCATACATGCTAAGTTTACCGTATATGAATTACATGTTCTATAATGGAGGCTGGATTGTGCTATTTTACCTGGCAATTGTTTGCTTTACTGAGCTTATAGTGAGTTGGCATCATATCTCTGAAGGAGAATTTTGTGGTGCACAAAGTGGTTTAGCCCTTTAAATATGTAGATTGGTTGCAAGTTCCTTTTGTGGGGATTTATATGGCAGAGGAAAAAAGGTTGTGGACTTGTGGCTATCTTGTGGACAATTTGGCAAGAACGGGATGGTAGAGTATTTAATGGACTAGCTTCTTCCCATGATACTATGATAGTTTATGGGATACAGAAACTTTGTCAGCATTTTGATGGTCTAAGGCAACTGGGAATTTAGACTTTATCCAATTGGAGAGTTGAATTACAATGGTACTTGTCCAAGTTGGTAACTTCTATGCTTATAAATAAAAAGAAAAAGGAAAAATGAGCACATAGATATGTAAGTATTCCGTTCACGCTAATCACGTACATTTACATTTTGTTACGAGGATCTGATTTGTTAGATAGTTTGCAATCTTTGCATTGAAACATAGCTTAGTACTGTTAGAATGGTTGGGTACAGATTTATGACTGATTATTTTTAGGTACTACGCTTGGGATTATCGAGTTTTGAAGACATTTGCTAAACACTATTCAACTGGGGAAATCATACCCAAAAAGTTGGTGGATTCGATGCAAAATGCTAAAATGATGTTTGCTGCAACTGAATTGCAGCGGCAGGTATGCTGGCTGAGGATATGAATGGATTAGTGAGCTGTGCTATAATTGCTTTTCCTCTTCAAAAGTAATCTTGACTTTCTTTATCTTTTGCTTGTTTCTTCTTAGATCTTTTATGCGCTGATTGATCAAAAGCTTTTTGGGGAACAAGATTCTACTCCAAGAGATACTATTTCAATTGTTGCAGATTTGAAAAGGCAATACACAAGTTATAAGCAAGTTGAAGGAACACACTGGCACACCCGGTTTAGTCACTTGCTGAATTATGGTGGAGGTATGTCTTCAGCGAGAATCACTGGAATCTGTCATTTATCAGCATTTATTCTTTTTTTTGGTTATTATGGTAGGATAATAGCTACAATTAGAGCTGTTAAAAGTTGACACGACCCGAATTACCGGCTCAAATCCGATTATTAACCGACCCATCTGAACCCGAAAAATGGTGACCCAAACCCGACCGGACCCGACCTGTAACCAACCCTAGACCCGAGTTGACCCGAGTATGTGAGACCCGAACCCGAACACGACTGACCTGGAGATGACCCGACCCGAATGTAACCCGTAAATTATTGACCTGAACTGAACCCGATTTTAACCGAAATTGACCCAAACTCATTTTAACCAGTCAAAACCCGAATTTAACCCGACTTGTTACTATCCTGACCTGAATTCAACCCGACTTGTTCCTAACTCGACCCAAATTTAACCCAATCTATTACAAACCCGACCCGAAATCAACTCGACTTATTATTGACCTGACCAAAATTAACCCGACTTGTTATTGACTCAACCCGAATTTTACCAAATCTATTACTAACCCGACCCAAAAATTCAACCTGATTTGTTACTAACCCGACTCAAAATCAACACGACTTGTTATTGACCCGACCTTAATTCAACCTAAATTGTTCCTTACCTTAAATGCATTTTAGACCACCTTATTATTGTTGATCAAAGCATTTTTTCTAAGAAGACCAAGTCGGTCCACGCCAGCAAAAGAAAGGAGCATCATCCTCAAATTTAAGAGTTAAATATAGTATATATTTAATGTATGGTCAAAGGAGATAATTATCTTCCTAAATTATAAACTATAGTTTCCTAGTAAATTGCCATATATATTATAATCAAAGGAAATAATTAGCTTGATAAAAATGATAATTATCTATTTATAGTTAGTTGAACCCGAATATAACCTGACTTGGAAATAACCCGATCTGATTGTAACATGCAAAATTATTGACTTGAACATAACCCGACTTGACTCCGATAATGATCCGACTTGGAAATGACCCAACTTGATTATAACCCGCAAACTACTGACTGAACCGAACCCAAATTGAACCCGAGAATGACCCGACTTGAAAATGACTCCACCAGATTAAAATCTTGCAAATTATTGACTTGAACCGAACTGACTCAAACCCGAGAATGATCCGACCTGATTCTAACCCGCAAATTATTGACTTGAGCCGAACGTGACTCGAACCCGAGAAATAACCTAACCTGTTTTAACCCGTGAAAACCCGAATTAAACCCAACCTATTGTTCACCCGACTCAAATGAACCCAACCTAGTATTAACCCGATCAAAACCCGATCTAAATCCGATAAGAAGTATGTCTCGACATGACCCGACTCATGCATAACCCAACCCAAACCCGACCCGCATACGTTATGAAATTAATCCGAATTGACCTGACCTGAGTTGATCCAGACTACTCTTATCGACCTAAACCAGACCCGTTTACCTGAATTAACAGCTCTACCCAACCTCAAAAATTTCTCAAAAAGCGTTCAAATTAGCATTCAATTTTGGAATATTTAAAAAAAAATTTCACCCAAAATATAAAAATTGTCGAAATTTTTACCATAGTCCATAATATTCTCCGGGAGTCCAATTGGCTGGGTGGAACCATCCAATTTGCCTTTCAACGACCAATTTACCAGTTTACAATTTGCATCGATTTCATTAACTCAAGCCTACCATGAACATTTACGACAACATATAATGATCATATATGGTTCCAAATGGCATTATATGACCCCGAGATTTATCCTCTAGAATTTCAAGACTTTTCGACACAGGAAACCTCTAAAATTTCGCAGAATGCGTGGATATTAGACTTCAAATTTGGAATTTTTGACTTTTTTTCGCCCGAAAATAAAAATTGCCGTAATGTTTACGGTGGTCCCTAATAGCCTTTGGGAGTCCGTCTGGCTACGTACAACCATCTAATTTGCCTTTAAACAGTCGAGTTACCGGTTTACAACTTGCACCGATTTCATCAACTCAAGCCTACAACGAACATTTATGACAACAAATAATGATTATATATGGTTCCAAACGACATTATATGACCTTGAAATGTTTTCCCTAAAATTTCTAAACTTTCGACACCGAGCCCGAAACCTTCAAAATTTCTCAAAAAGCGTGGATATAGACTTCAATTTTGGAATTTTTTAACATTTTTTCGCACGGAAATAAAAATTGTCGAAATGTTAACCTTCCCTAATACCATCCGGGAGTCCAATTGGGTGGGTAGGACCATCCAATTTGCCTTTAAACGACCAATTTACCGATTTCATTAACTCAAGCCTACCACGATTATTTATGAAATCATATAATGATCATATATGGTTCCAAACGACATTATATGCCACCAAGATGTATTCTCTAAAATTTCAAGGCTTTTCAACTCGACACCAGTCCCAGTCCTCGAAACCTTCAAAATTTCTGAAACAACGTGGATATAAGCCTTCAATTTTGGAATTTTTTGACTTTTTTTCGTACGGACAAAAAATTGCTGTACCTGGTTCGTAATATCCTTCGGGATTCCAATATTTGGTGGATGGAACCATCCAACTTGCCTTTAAACAACCAATTTAACGGTTTACAATTTGCATTGATTTCATTAACTTTAGCGTACTACAAAAATTTATATAATGATCATATATGGTTCCAAACGGAATTATATGACTATGAGATGTATCCTAAAAAATATAAGGACTTTTTGACACTAGGCTCCGAAAGATCGAAATTTTTTCAAAAAGCGTGGATATTAGCCTTGAATTTTGGAATTTTACGACTTTTTTTGTCCGTAAAAAAAAATAGCTAAAATGTTTACCATGGTCCCTAATAACCTTCGGGAGTCATATTAGGTGGGTGGAATCATCCAATTTGTCTTTAAATGGCCAATTTACCGGTTTACATCTTCTGTCGATTTCATTAACTTAAGCTTACCACGAACATTTATGACAACATGCGATGATCAAATATAGTTCCAAAAGGTATTATGTAACCCTGAGATTTATCCCCTAATATCCCAAGCCTTTTCAACCCCGGGCCTCGAAACCTCCAAAATTTCACAAAAAACGTGGATATTAGCCTTCAATTTTGGAATTTTACGACTTTTTTTTGTCCGTAAAAAAAAAAATAGCTAAAATGTTTACCATGGTCCCTAATAACCTTCGGGAGTCATATTAGGTGGGTGGAATCATCCAATTTGTCTTTAAATGACCAATTTACAGGTTTACATCTTCTGTCGATTTCATTAACTTAAGCTTACCACGAACATTTATGACAACATATGATGATCAAATATAGTTCAAAAAGGTATTATGTAACCCTGAGATTTATCCCCTAATATCTCAAGCCTTTTCAACCCCGGGCCTCGAAACCTCCAAAATTTCACAAAAAGCGTGGATATTAGGCTTCAATTTTGGAATTTTTTTTTACTTTTTCCGCCCGTAAATAAAATTGCCAAAATGTTTAGCATGGTCTCTTGTACCCTCCGATAGCTCAATTGGGTGGGTAGAACCGTCCAATTTGCCTTTAAACGACCAATTTACCGGTTTACAACTTGCAGCGATTTCATTAACACAAGCCTACTACGAATATTTATGACAACATATAATGATCATATATGGTTCCAAATGACATTACATGACCCCGAGATGTATTCCCTAAAATTTCAAAGATTTTCGACACCAGGCCTCGAAACCTCTAAAATTTCTTAAAAAGCATGGATATTAGCCTTAAATTTTTGTATTTTTTGACTTTTTTCGCTTGTAAATAAAATTTTTTCCGAAATGTTTACCATGATCCCTAATACCCTCCGGCCTCCGGGAGTCTAATTAGGTGGGTGGAACCATCCAATTTGTCTTTAAATAGCGAATTTATTGGTTTACAAGTTGCACCTATTTCATGAACTGAAGCCTTCGACGAACATTTATGGCAACATATAATGATCATTTATGGTTTAAAATAGTATTATATGACCCGAGATGTATTTCCTAAAATATCAAAACTTTTCGACATCGGGCACTGAAACCTTAAAATTTTCTCAAAAAACGTGGATATTAGCCTTTAATTTTGTAATTTTTTTCCTCAAAAAAAATTTCTTAAAAAACGTGGACACGCCTTTAATTTTTGAATTTTGCGACTTTTTTTTCGCCCAGAAATAAAAATTGTCGAAATGTTTACCTTGGTCCTTAATACCCTTCTGGAGTAATTAAACCATCCAATTTGCCTTTAAACGACCAATTTACCGGTTTACAACTTGCACCTATTTCATTAACACAAGCCTACCACGAACATTTATGATAACATATAAAGGTCATTTATGGTTTCAAACAACATTTTCTGACCCCGAGAGGTATCCCCTAAAATCTCATTTGTTTTTGACACCGAGCCTCGAAACTTTCGAAATTTCTCAGAAAGCGAGAATATTAGCCTTCAATTTTGGAATTTTTTTATTTTTTTCGCTTGGAGATAAAAATTCCTGAAATGTTTACCATTGTCCTAATATCCTCCGGGAGTCCAATTGGGTGGGTGGAACCATCTAATTTGCCTTTAAACGTCCAATTTACCGGTTTATAACTTGCACATATTTCATTAATTCAAGCTTACCACGAACATTTATGACAAAATAATGATTACATATGGTTCCAAACGACATTATATAACCTTGAGATGTATTCTCTAGAATTTGGAGACTTTTAGACACCGGATCTTCTCTAAAATTTCTCAAAAAGGTGGATATTAGCGTTCTATTTTTTAATTTTTAAACTTTTTTTTGCCCGGAAATACAAATTGGCCAAATGTTTATCATGGTCTTTAATAACCTCCGAGAGTCCAATTGAGTGGGTGGAGCCATCCAATTTGCCTTTAAAAAGCCAATTTACCGGTTTACAACTTGCACCTATTTCATTAACTCAAGCTTACCGCGAACATTTATAACAACATTTAATAATTATATATGATTCCAAACGGCATTATATGACTTCGTTATGTATCTCTTAAAATCTCAAGGCTTTTCGACACCGGGTTCCGAAACCTTTAAAATTTCGCAAAATGCGTGGATATTATACTTAACTTTAGGAATATTTTGACTTTTTTTCGCCCGAAAGTAAAAATTGCTGAAATATTTTCCATGGTACCTAATACCGTACAGGAGTCAAATTAGGTTGGTGGAACCATCCAATTTGCCATTAAACGGCCAAATTACCGATTTACAACTTACACTAATTTCATTAACTCGAGCCTATCACGAACATTTATAACAACATATAATGATCATATATGGTTCCAAACGGCATAATATGACCCCGAGATTTATCTTCTAAAATTTCAAGTCTTTTCAGGCGGCCCCGAAACCTCAAAAATTTCGCAAAATGCGTGGATATTAGACTTTAGAATTTTTTGACTTTTTTTTTGCCCGGAAATAAAATTGCTGTAATGTTTACAGTGATCCTTAAACCCTCTAAGAGTCCACCTGGCTAGTTGCAACTATCCAATTTGTCTTTAAACGGTCAATTTACCGATTTGCAACTGGCACCGATTTCATTTACTCAAGCCTACCACGAACATTTGTGACAACAAATAATGATTACTTATGGTTCCAAATGACATTATATGACTCCGAGATTTATTCCCTTAAATTTGAAGACTTTCAGACACCGGGTCTCAAAGGCTCCAAAGTTTCTCAAAAAAGGTGGATATTAGCCTTCAATTTTTGAATTTTTTGATTTTTATTTCGCTCGGAAATAAAAATTGCCGAAATGTTTATCATTGTCCCTAATTCCCTCCGGGAGTCCAATTGGGTGGGTGGTATCAATTACTTTGCCTTTAAACAACCTATTTACCGGTTTACAACTTGCACCGATTTACCGGTTTACAACGACCAATTTAATTAACTTGCACCGAACCCGACTTGAACCGAAATTGACCCAAACCTTTTTTAACCCGTTAAAACCCGAATTTAATCCGACTTGTTACTAACCCGACCCGAATTAAACCCGACCTGTTCCTAACTTGCCCCAAATTAACCCAACCTATTACAAACTCGACCCGAAATCAACCAGACTTGTTATTGACCTGACCCAAATTAAACCCGACTTGTTATTGACTCGACCCGATTTTTGCCAGACCTATTACTTACCGTCCCAAAAATTCAATCTGATGTGTTACTAACTCGACTCAAATTAACACTTGTTATTGACCCGACCTAAATTCAACCCAAATAATTTCTGACCCGATTTCAAATCACCTTGAATGCAATTTAGATCACCTTATTATTGTTGATCAAAACATTTTGTCTAGGGAAACCAAGTCGGTCTACGACAGTAAAAGAAAGGTGCATCATCCTCAAGTTTAAGAGTTAAATATAGAATATATTTGTTGTATGGTCAAAGGAGATAATTATCTTCCTAAATTATAGGCTATAGTTACCTAGTATATTGCCATATATATTATAGTCAAAGGAAATAATTATCTTGATAAAAATGATAATTATCTATTTATAGTTAGTTGAACCTGAACATGACCTGACTTGGAAATGACCCGACCAGATTGTAACCTGCAAATTTTTGACTTTAACATAACCCGACTTGAATCCGAGAATGACCCGACTTGGAAATGACCCAACCTGATTATAACCCGCAAATTATTGACTTGAACTGAATCCGACTTGAACCCGAGATTCACCCGACTTGAAAATGACCCGACCTGATTATAACCCGCAAATTATTGACCTGAATCGAGCTCGACTCAAAGCCGAGAATGACCCGACCTGATTCTTACCCGCAAATTATTGACTTGAAGCGAACCCGACTCGAACCCGAGAATTACCCTAACCCGTTTAACCCGAATTAAATCCGACCTATTGTTCACCCGACTCAAATGTAACCCGACTTGTTATTAACCCGACCTAAACTCGACCCAAACCCGATAAGAAGTATGACCCGACGTGACCCGAATCAAGCATGACCCAACCCAAACCCGACCTGCATAGGTTATGGAATTAATTCGAGTTGATCCGACCTGAGTTGACCCAACCCACTCTTATCCAACCCAAACCCGACCCATTTACCCTAATTGACAGCTCTAGCTACAATAAGAAGTTTGGCTCATTTGACGACTTTCTTGTCTTGTTCATTGTTGATATTTCATAGATATGGCCAATTTGGATTTGGAATGTTTTAGTGTATTACTCCTCATATGCTTCAACATATTAGTGAGTAATTATACTTTGTACCAACTGAAAACGAGATAACAGTTTATTAAGACTTCTTGGAGCTACCATGCGTCTATACTTTATATCAACATTACGCCATTTTAAGACCAGTTTTATGTGCAACACTTGCCATAATTCAACTCACATAAATTTGTTCCTGTTTGTATAGTTCCTGAAATTCCTGAATTAAGAGTTGAATTCTTTCATATTTTTTGATTTGTTGTTGTGTCATCTTCTGTTTTTTTCTAGTTAGTTTCCAAATTGAGGTATCATCATCACCATCTTTTATAGTACACCAATGCTTAATGTATCATGATGCTTGAAAAGGGATATATAATTAAAAGCTGCCTTTTCTCATAGTCATATAATTTGCTATGTCTTGCATTTATGTCATGCTTCTGGCTTCTTGCTCAAGGGTGCCACACAGTATATGTTCTGAGAGTATCTTCTACTTGTTTGTAGGATACTACAGCTATTTATATGCCAAGTGTTTTGCTGCAACCATATGGAAAAATACATGTCAAGAGGATCCCCTCTCGCTCGAAACTGGGACTGCCCTTCGAACAAAGTTTTTGCAGCATGGGGGTGCTGTAGAGCCAGTTGACTTGTTGAAAGATTTAGTCGGGGATGGCAGTATAAGATATTCCAATGGGGGTGTGATACCTGACATAAGAGCACTCTCTGAAGAGATGAAGCTTGAATTGAGAGAACCTCCACATGTTTGCTAGACTTGTAGAAATGGCATTAGGAGATAGTGATTATTGGGTAATGGGTACTGGTGTTTGGAGGTGTTTCCTTCCATGAGATCACCAGTTGGTGGTAGATCCACTGTGATCATTCTTTGAGAAGCTGACATTATGATTGTTTTAATCTAGATTTTTAAGAAATCATCAGAGGCTCAGAGCTAAGGCCTCCTGATTAGTAGCAAGGGATAAAAGAGTCCACCTTATCCTGTTCAGGGGGCTAAGGCTTGGGACATTATTCTGGCTACTGCCAATGTACTCTGTAAACCAAATTACTGCCAGTAGGGTGTATTCTGTCAACCAAATTACTGCCAATGTACTCTCGAGAAGAAGTGACATAGTGAATGCCCCACCAGAGCAAGTTGAGTCACCTGCATTGAAGAAATCAGATTTTTCAAGGATCTTCGGATGACTTTGCCAAAGCAAGTATAACCAACTGAATTCAAGCTGCAGTATTCTTTCCACTAATTGTTTACATACAGGGTTAGTGCATGATGTTTAAGAAATACTGTAAGACATAGCTATTTGTAAATCGTTGCTTCTTGTCTCATTCTTGTCTCTCAATGACTATTTTTGCTCTCATTTGCTCATAAGAGCGAATTTTGGAACTTATAAGTTCATCAGATGTCAATTTTGATACTTTATTCTATTTAGATTTCGTTCAATATCGATCTAGTGAATTTTTATTTGATATTACTCCATAGAAGCTATGAGTAAATAACAAATTGTTGATTTATAATAGGTTTTGAGATTGAGCAACTTCGGAGTAAAAGCTCAAAAGGATTTGGAGGCAATGAATAATATAATTATTATAGTCTATCAATTATATTAAGGTTTTGTTCACTTTGCTTGATATTTGATGAATTTAAGGGAGAATTTTTTAACTCGCAACAAAACTTTTTGTTCACTTTGCTTGATATTTGTTAAACTTAACTTTTTTTTTTTGGGAATTAAAATAATGTTATGCAGTATTAATTTTTGTAAAGTGAAAAGAACCTAAGAAATTTTACTACCTGTATTTTGATTTGTATCAGATATGTGATTGTGATTAACAAATTCACAATAAATGACATTGCAAAGCAGGAACAAGTGCGAGTAAGAACCCTTTTCTAAATGATAGGTTAATAATACTTGTATCACATGTTTGTCCATGTCAAGCTTGAGCTACTTTACACAGTCATCCTAATAATTTTCGAACTAAATCAATGGTATTACCCAATGGCTAAATAATTGTGTTTGCTATCGGGCTTTATTTTTTACACGGTTATGGTAGCATAATTGTGTTATGTGCATGGTGAGCTGATTGATGAATCAAAGCTCTCAGAATGAATTTTGCTCTCAATCTCTGATATCCATTCACAGATCATAGCATTGACCTCATCTGGACACTCATCATGGGGGCAATGGCCTACAGTATCAACACCATGGTTATAGTATCCAACTGAAGTATTCAGACTTTCGTACATCAATAAATTCAGGAGTTTGAAAGGTGTAATTACCAGCATTAAGCTCCTTGATCATGATTCCTTCACAGTGCTCTCTGAACATAGCAAGCTTGGAACCAGGATCAGCTATTGGGTCTTTCATTCCCTGATGAAAATAAATAAACCAATCAGACATGAGTTGAATGCCTAGTAGTTTTTATCATATACAGCTAGAACTTAATCATCAATTATTATTAATATTGCAAACAAAATTAGAATTACCTGTATAATTAAAACCTTCCCCGTTAATCTGCTTAAAAGATGATTAAGAGGAATGGACAAATTGAAGCTGAATACACTCTCTAAAACCTCTACCGAGCCAGGATCATATGACTTGTGCAAACATCAAGGTTGACAATGCTTGAAACATAGGAAAGTATAAAGCAAAACAGAAATAGAGCAGCAACTAAAAACCAAATCTCATTAATAGAAGAGGATACAGCTCTAAGCATTTCCTTGATGAGCCAGTCATCAGCCCTTTCAGGTCGCTTCAAATTTGAAATAACATACAAATTATTGTTAACAAAGAGAATGAAATGAAATAATAATAAAAGCCTAGAACAAGTTACAGTTATCAAGCATAGCTGTGAATGAGCCCACTTACAGTAGGGTAGCAATTTTTAACGAGGCTTCTTATGCTAAATCTCAAGTATTGCAGAATTGCTCTTGATCCCAACCAAGCAGCCCCAGAAATTTGTCTTTCCTACAATGGATTCGGATGGAAAAAAGCTGTTCTTAGTGCAAAATCTAGTTTTCATGAGCACTTCTCCAAAAGCTACTCAAGTAGCAATCATACAGCTCATAAATTCCTCACCTTAAAGAATAGCAGAGAGGAAAATCCTGGAAAAACATCTCCAGCACTGTTCATAAGAATAATAGATTTGACCAGTGAAGGCCAAAGACCACCAACAATTGAAGTAAAGTATCCTGACATTCAAAAAACATAGATTACAACAGGTATTGAAGGAAATAAGAACAGAGCATATCTGAACTTATTTGAACATACTGAACTTCATTTAGTGGTAAATTGATCTTTGGTAGCCCTTATAAACCCTAATCTAAACTTATCTATTCTTGAAATAAATGGAAATAAGGTAAATTAAATAAGGCCTAAGAACAGAGCATTAAATTCAAATGTCTGTTGAAGAAAAGGCGAAGAAAAGGCAAGTTGAAACCTACCACCAATTGAGTTTCCAACAAGATGTGCTTGCTCACCCACAACCTCAACAATGAAGTCGCGTAATAATTCCGCCCACATGAGCTCACTGTAAACAATATTTGGCTTTTCAGACCGTCCAAAGCCTAAAAGAGTAAGAGCCCAAACTCGATTCCCACCATCAGCTATATTACTCAAGTTGTCACGATAATGCTCAAAGAAAGCCCCAAATCCATGGACAAGAAGAACAGCAGGCCCTTCACAACCAACAACTGTGTACTAAAAACAGAACAGTGTTTAGTAGCCAAAAATCTACAATTCAATTTTGGCCACACATGTCAGAGATTCACAGTTATGCCAGGAGAAATTCAGATATTCAACCAGAAAAAAAAAATAATCTATTGAAAATACTCAAAAAAATAAAAATAAAATAAAAACCGTGTCACATGAATGATGAATCCTACACTTACATCACCGACTGGACTTGTAATATCACATTTGGAAACTACTATAATCAACAAACCAGCTGACTATCTAAGGAATTAACCCCATCAAGCTCATGTCTAACATTGACAATGACAAGGACAGTTAAACTGCCTCAAACAAAATCAAATAACTCAGAGTGAATGCACCAAAATTTCCTCAAGCAGAAGTAGTAACATCATTTCAAAAAGGCAGATGAACTTTTGGTAAAGGTTAGTTTAGAGAATTAGAGAGTCAAGCGTGCTTTAAATGAACACAACATGATACGAAAATATGGAGAAGATACATCATTGTGGAAGAAAGGAACGAATGCTTTTCAGAAAAAAAACTGAAGACAGTAGCAGCATCTACATGCCCTATTCGAGCTCCAAACTCCATAAGCCCACACCATAGTTAAGATTTCTTAGAACAAAGATAAGTTGGTCCAACAAGAGTCAACTTCCCTATAGACGGGAAAAGGGTACGAGCGAAACATACATCCCCCACCCATTCCCTATCAATTAACATACCTGAATTAGGTGGCCATTCCATCTCCACAGTCTTTTAGAGTACGGTTCTTCCCTCTGAGATAAGCTTTTCAAACTCAGAAGCCAATACCACTGCCACAAATATTTAGAAGGATTAGCTGACAACAATTAGAAAAACAAAGTCTGTTTAATAAAAAAAACAAAAAAAAAAAAAAAAGACAGCTTTCAGTCAAGTTATCAATCCTCACACCTCTATTGAGCATACTGCATCAATGGCAGCAGCAACTGTTGTCGTAGAATACCCAAATGGAGATAAAAACCCACCATTTCGTTCTTTCTCATATCTTATTGCTTCATAATATACTCTCCTACGGGATATGGTGCCAAGCTGCAAAGCAGATCCAAAAAGAGCTCCAAATGAAGCTCCAGTTCGGATTTCAGTCTCCCTCAACTTTAGGTGAATCCTGAAACCACATCAGGATAGGAATTATAAACTCAATGGGAGATTAATTTACACTGGAGTGACTTAACAAGTCTTGGTTTAGCAATAATTACAGAGGACAAGCCACATACTATAATTCTTCTACTGGGATAACAAGTACATTTCATGCAGATATTGGAACAGCAATAGAAATTAGAAACAAAAATGCTGAAGTCTAACACCTTAAAAATTCTACAGCCCTTTTTATATTTCATGATATCTGCACCTTTGAAAATTTGTAGAGCAAAAGACTAATCTGAATGTTGCAATCTATTCATGCATGTTTAGGCGAATTGGTCAGTGTTGAGCATTAACCAAGCAAGTAGTCTTTCAGTCCCATACAAATATATTCACTTTCGGTCCCATACAAATACATCCACTTCTAATATTGAATTGTCCCAACATATGTTTTTAAACAATAATAACCAAATATAAGCATATGGTTTTACAAATTTGTACCTAGAGCTGTCAAAAGTTGAGCCGACCCGAAATACCGACTCAAACCCGATTATTAACCGACCCAACTGAACCCAAAAAAATGGTGACCCAAACCCGACCTGATACCAACCCTAGATCCGAGTTGACTCGCGTATGTGAAACCCGAACTCGAACATGAACTGACCTGGGGATGACCCGACCCGAATGTAACCCGTAAATTATTGACCTGAACCGAACCTGACTTGAACCGAAATAGACCCAAACCCGTTTTAACCCGTCAAAACCCGAGTTTGACCCGACTGATTACTAACCTGACCTGAATTCAACTCGACCCGTTCCTAACCCGACCTGAATTTAACCTAACCTGTTACAAAGCCGACCCGAAATCAACCCAACTTATTATTAACCTAACCCAAATTCAACCCGACTTGTTATTGAATCGACCCGAAATTTTACCAGACCTATTACTAACCCGACCCAAAAATTCAACCCGATCTGTTACTACCCCGACTCGAAATAAACACGACTTGTTATTGACCCGACTTAAATTCAACCCAAATTGTTCCTGACCCGATTTCAAATCACCTTAAATGCAATTTAGACCACCTTACTATTGTTGATCAAAGCATTTTGTCTAGGGAGACCAAGTCGGTCCAGACCAACAAAAGAAAGGATCATCATCTTCAAATTTAAGAGTTAAATATAGTATATATTTGTTTTATGGTAAAAGGAGATAATTATCTTCCTAAATTATAAACTATAAATCCCTAGTATACTGTCATATATATTATAGTCAAAGGAAAAAATTAGCTTGATTAAAATGATAATTATGTATTTATAGTTACTTAGTTAGTTGAACCTGAATGTGACCTGACTTGAAAATGACCCGACTTGATTAGAACTTGCAAATTACTGACTTGAACATAACCCGACTTGACTCTGAGAGTGACCCGACTCGGAAATGACCATACCTGATTATAACCCGCAAATTATTGACTTGAACCGAACCCGACTCAAACCCGAGAATGACCCGACCTATTCTAACCCGCAAATTATTGACTTTGAACCGAACCCGACTCGAACCCGAGAATTACCCTTACTCGTTTTAACCCGTGAAAACCATAATTAAACAAGACCTATTGTTCACCCGACCCAAATGTAACACGACCTGTAATAAACCCGACCAAAACCCAATAAGAAGTATGACCCGACGTGACCCGACTCAAGCATGACCCAACCCAAACCCAACCCGCATAAGTTATGGAATTAATTCAAATTGACCTGACCCGAGTTGACCCGAACCAAACCCGAAACCTTCAAAATTTCGCAAAATGTGTGAATATTAGACTTCAATTTTTAAATTTTTAGAATTTTATTCGTTCGGAAAATAAAATTGTCGTAATGTTTAAAATGGTCCATAATACCCTTAGGGAGTACCCAGGCTGGGTGGAAATCCGATTTGCCTTTAAACAGCCGATTTACCAATTGACAACTTGCACCGATTTCATTTACCCAAGCCTACCATGTATTTTTATGACAACAAATAATGATCATATATGGTTCCAAACAACATTATATGCCCCGACATATATTCCCTAAAATTTCAAAACTTTTCGACACCGAACCCCGAAACCTCCAAAATTTCTCAAAAAGCATGGATATTGGACTTCAATTTAGGATTTTTTTTTTAACTTTTTTCGAAAAATTGCCGAAATGTTTACCATGATCACTTATACGCTCCGCAAGCCCATTTGGGTGGGTGGAACCGTCCTATTTGCCATTAAACGGCCAATTTACCGATTTACAACTTCCACCGATTTCATTAACTCAAGCCTATCACGAACTTTATGACAACATATAATTATCATATATGGTTTCAAACGGCATTATATGACCTCGAGATGTATACCTTAAAATCTCAAAGTTTTTCGACACCGTACCTAACCTCAAAAATTTCTCAAAATGTCGAAATTTTGGAATTTTTCGATTTTTTTCACCAAGAAATAAAAATTGCCGAAATTTTTACCATGGTCCCTAATACCCTCCGGGAGTCCAATTGAGTGGGTGTATCCATCCAATTTGCCTTTAAACGACCTATTTACCGGTTTCAATTTCATTAAATCAAGCCTACCACGAACATTTATGCCAACATACAATGATCATATATAGTTCCAAACAGCTAAAATTTCAAGGTTTTTCGACACCGGACCTCGAAACCTTCAAAATTTCTCAAAAAGCATGGATAGCCTTTAAAATTGGAATTTTTAGACTTTTTTTCGCTCGAAAATAAAAATTGACGAAATGTTTATCATGATCCCCAATAGCCCCAAGGAGTCCAATTTGGTGGGTGGAACTATCCAATTTGCCTTTAAAAAACCAATTTACTGGCTTACAACTTACACCGATTTCATAAACTCAAGACTACCACTAACATCTATGATAACATATAATAATCATAAATGCTTCCAAATGGCATTATATGATACCTAGATGTATTCCCTAAATTCTCATGACTTTGAGACATCGGGCGGGCAACTAAACCCCCAAAATTTCTTAAAAAGCGTGGACATTAGCCTTCAATTTTGGAAATTTTAGACTTTTTTTGCCAGAAAATAAAAATTGTCGAAATGTTTACCATGGACCCTAATACCCTCAGATAGTCTAATTGGGTGGGTGGAACCATCTTATTTGCATTTAAATGACCAATTTACTGGTTTACAACTTGCACCGATTTCATTAATTCAAGTCTACCACGAACATTTATGACAACAAATAACGATCATATATGGTTCCAAACGGCATTAAATGACCCCAAGATATATCCCCTAGAATTTTAATGCTTTTCGCACCGGGCCCCCAATTCTCCAAAATTTCTCAAAAAGCGTGGATATTAGCCTTTAATTTTGAAAATTTTGACTTTTTTTCGCCTGAGAAAAAATAATTGCCGAAATGTTTACCATTTTACCTAATACCGTCCGGGAGTCCCATTGTGTGGGTGGAACCATTCAATTTGCTCTTAAACGACCAATTTACCGGATTCTAACTTCCACTGATTTCATTAACTCAAGAGGGTGTACGAACATTTATGACAACAAAAAATGATCATAAATGGTTTCAAACAACATTATATGACCTCGAAATATATCCCCTAAAATTTCTAGACTTTTCGACACCAGCCTCGAAACCTCCACAATTTCTCAAAAAGCGTGGATATTAGTCTTCAATTTTGGAATTTTTGACTTTTTTTCTCTAGTAAATAAAAATTGCCGAAATGTTTACCATGGTCCCAAATACCCTCCGGGAGTCCAATTGGGTGGGTGGAACAATCCAATTTACCTTTAAACGACCAATTTTTACAATTTGCATCGATTTCATTAACTCAAGCCAACCACTAACATGTATGATAATATTTAATAATCATATATGGTTTCAAATGACATTATATGAACCCCATATGTATTCCCTTAATTCTCAAGACTTTGCGACAGTGGGCCACTAAACCTCCAAAATTTCTCAAAAAGCATGGACATTAACCTTTAATTTTGGAAATTTTTGATTTTTTTTTCCTCAAAAAAAAAAAAAATTGCCAAAATGTTTACCATGGTCCTTAATACCCTCCGGTAGTCCAATTGGGTGGGTGGAACCATCTAATTTTCCTTTAAACTACAAATTTACTAGTTTACAACTTGCACCGATTTCATTAACTCAAAATTATCATGAACATTTATGACAACAAATAGTGTTCATATATGGTTCTAAACGACATTATATGACCCCGAGATATATATTCCTTAGAATATCAAGGATTTTCGCCAACGGGTCCTGAAACCTCAAAAATTTCTCAAAAAGCGTGGATAAAAAAGTCTTTACTATTGGAATTTTAAAACTTTTTTGGTCCAGAGTTAATAATTGCCGGAATGTTTACCATGTTCCCTAATACCCTTCGTGAGTCCAATTGGGTGGGTGGAAGTGTGGAACCTTCCAATTTGCCTTTAAACAACCTATTTACCGGATTATAATTTGCACCGATTTCATTAACTCAAGCCTACCACAAACATTTATGACAACAAATAATGATCATATATGGTTCCAAATGACATTAAATGACCCCGAGATGTATCCCCTACAATTTCTAGACTTTTCGACACTGGCCTTGAATTCTTCAAAATTTCTCAAAAAAATGGATATTAGCCTTCAATTTTGATAATTTTTAACTTTTTTTTCGCCCGGAAATAAAAATTGCCGAAATGTTTACCATGGACCCTAATACCATCCAGGAGTCCCATTGGGCGGGTGGAACCATCCAATTTGCCTTTAAACGACCAATTTACCAGTTTACAACTTGCACCGATTTCATTAACTCAAGCGTACCACGAACATTTATGACAACAAATAATGATCATATATGGTTCCAAACAGCATTATATGACTCCGAGATATATTAACTAGAATTTCAGGACTTTTCAGACTTTTCGACACCGTCTCCGAAACCTCCAAAATTTCTCAAAAAACGTGGATATTAGTCTTCAATTTTGGAATTTTTTTACTTTTTTTCCTTAGGAAATAAAAATTGCCGAAATGTTTACTATAGTGCTTAATATACTCCGGGAGTCCAATTACATGGGTGGAAGCATCTAATTTGCATTTTAACGACCAATTTGTCAGTTTACAACTTGTATGATTTCATTAACACAAGCCTACTACGAAATATTTATGTCAACATATAATGATCATATATGGTTCCAAACCGCATTATATGACACTGAGATGTTTCCTTAAATATATTAATACTTTTCTACACCTAGCTCTAAAACCTACAAAATTTCTCAAAAAACGTGAGTATTAGCCTTTTAATTTTAGGATGTTTTCATTTTTTTCGCCATGAAATGAAAATTGTCGGAATGTATACTATGGTCCCTAATACCCTCCGGGAGTCCAATTGGGTGGGTAGAACCATCCAATTTGCCTTTAAACGACTAATTTACCGGTTTACAACTTGCACTGATTTAATTAACTCAAGCATATCACGAACATTTATGATAACAAATAATGATCATATATGTTCCAAACAGCATTATATGACCCCGAGATGCATCCCCTAGAATTTGAAAACTTTTCGACATCGGGCCCGTAAACCTCCAAAATTTCTAAAAAAACGTGGATATTAAGTCTTCAATTTAAGAATTTTTTTACTTTTTTTCCCCAGGAAATAAAAATTGCCGAAATGTCTACGATTGTCCTTAATATCCTCCGAGAATCTGATTAGATGGGTGGAACCATCAAATTAGCATTTAAACGACCAACTTACCGGTTTACAACTTGCACTGATTTCATTGACTCAAGCCTACTACGAACATTTATGAAAACATATAATGATCATATATGGTTACAAACGGCATTATATGACCCCGAGATGTAAACTTAAAAATATTAATACTTTTCTACACCGGGCCCTAAAACCTCCAAAATTTCTCAAAACATGAGCATTAGTCTTCAATTTTGAAATGTTTTCATTTTTTTCGCCCGTAAATAAAAATTGCCGAAATATTTACCATGGTTCCTAATACCCTCCGAGAGTCCAATTGGGAAGGTGGAACCATCCAATTTGCCTTTAAACGACTAATTTACCGGATTATAACTTGCACGAATTTCACTAACTCAAGCCTACTGCAAACGTTTATGACAGCATATAATGATCATATATGGTTCCAAACAACATTATATGACCCCAAAATGTATCCCCTAAAAAATTAATACTTTTCTACACTGGGCTCCAAAACTTTTAAAATTTCTTAAATAGCGTGGATATAAACGTTCAATTTTGAAATTTATTGGTTTTTTAACACGGAATTAAACATTGCCGAAATGTTTACCATGCTCCCTAATACCTTGCTGGGTGGAACCATCCAATTTGCCTTTAAACGACTAATTTATCGATTTACAACTTGCACTTATTTCATTAATTCAAGCATACCACGAACATATATAACAACAAATAATGATCATATTTGGTTCCAAACGGCATTATATGACTCCGAGATGTATCCCATAAAATTTCAAGACTTTTTGACACCGAGCTCCGGAACCTCCAAAATTTCTCAAAAGCGTGGATATTATTAGCCTTCAATTTTGGAATTTTTTTACTTTTTTCGCCAAGAAATAAAAATAGTCGAAATGTTTACCATGGTCCTTAATACCCTCCGGGAGTCCGATTGGGTGGGTGGAACCATCCAATTTGCCTTTAAACGACTAATTTATCGGTTTACAACTTGCACTGATTTTATTAATCAAGCCTACCACGGACATTTATGACAACAAATAATGATCATATTTCGTTCCAAACGGCATTATATGACTCCAAGATGTATCCCATCGAATTTCAAAACTTTTCAACACCGGGCCCTGAAACCTTCAAAATTTCTCAAAAAACTTGGAATTACCCTTCAATTTTGGAATTTTTTTGACTTTTTTTCGTTTGGAAATATAAATTGCCGAAATGTTTACCATGGTCCTTAATACCCTTCAGGAGCCCAATTGGGTTGGTGGAACCATCCAATTTGCCTTTAAACGGCCAATTTAATTACCGGTTTACAACTTGCACGGATTTCATTAAGTCTAGCCTACTGCGAACGTTTATGACAACATATAATGATCATATATGGTTCCAAATAGCATTATATGACCCCGAGATGTATCTCCTAAAATATTAATACTTTTCTACACCGGGACCCGAAATCTCCAAAATTTCTCAAAAAGCGTGGGTTTTAACCTTCAATTTTGAAATTTTTAGATTTTTTTTCGCCCGCAATTTAAAATTGCTGAAATGTTTACCATGGTCCCTAATACCTTTCGGGAGTCCGATTGAGTGGAACCATCCAATTCGCCTTAAACGACAAATTTATTGGTTTACAACTTGTACTGATTTCATTAATTTAAGTCTACCACGAACATTTATGACAACAAATAATGATCATATTTGGTTCCAAACGACATTATATGATTCTGAAATGTAACCTATAGGACTTCAAGACTTTTCGACACCGAGCCTTGAAACCTCTAAAATTTCTCAAAAAGCGTGGATATTAGTCTTCAATTTTGGAATTTTTTGAGTTTTTTCGCCCGGAAATAAAAATTGTTGATATGTTTACCATGTTTCCCAATACCCTCCGGGAGTCCAATTGAGTGTGTGGAGCCATTCAATTCTCTTTTAAACGGCCAATTTACTGGGTTTACAACTTGCACCGATTTATTGGTTCACAACGGTTTATTTAATTAGGTTGCACTAATCCGACTTGAACCGAAATTGACCTAAACTCGTTTTACTCTGTCAAAACCCGAATTTAACTCGACTTGTTACTAACCTGACTTGAATTCCACACGACCAGTTTTTAACCTGACGCGAATTTAACCCTACTTGTTATAAACCCGACCCGAAATCAAACCCTACTTGTGATTGACCTGACCCAAATTCAACCCGACTTGTTATTGACCTAACTTGAATTTTACCATATCTATTACTTACCCAACCAAAAATTCAATCCGATCTGTTACTAACCCGACTCGAAATTAACACAACTTATTATTGGCCCGACCTAAATTCAACCCAAATTGTTCCTAACCCGATTTCAGATCACCTTAAATGCAATTTAGACCACCTTATTATTGTTGATCAAAGCATTTTGTCTAGTAGAATCATCCTCAAATTTAAGATTTAAATATAGTATATATTTGTTGTATGGTCAAAGGAGATAATTATCTTTCTAAATTATAAACTATAGTTCCCTAGAATATTTCCATATATATTATAGTCAAATGAAGTTATTAGCTTGATAAAAATGATAATTATCTATTTATAGTTTGTTGAACCCGAATATGGAAATGACTCAATCTGATTTTAACCTGCAAATTATTGACTTGAACATAACTCGACTTGAATCCGAGGTTAACCCGACTTAGAAATGACCAAACCTGATTATAACCCGCAAATTATTGACTTGAACTGAACCCGACTTGAAAATGGCCCAACCTGATTATAATCCGCTAATTATTGACTTGAACCGAACCCGACTCAAACCCGAGAATGACTCGACCTGATTCTAACTCGCAAATTATTGACTTGAACCAAAGCTACTCGAACCTGAGAAATACCATAACCCGTTTTTACCCGTGAAAACCCGACCTATTGTTCACCTGACCCGAATGTAACCCGACCCAAACCCGATAAGAAGTATGATCCGACTCAAGCATGACCCATCCCAAACCCGACCCGCATAGGTTATAGAATTAACCTGAATTGACCCGACCCGTTTACCTGAATTGACAACTCTATTTGTACCTGCAATGCCTTCTACATAATTTCAGGGTAGTATCAAATACTTATAAATCTAAAAAATTCAGCAAGAAAAGTTTATCCATCAAAATTTCTATGAAACCATTTGTCTTATTTTATTTGTGTTGTCAATTAAGTACTTTCTCCGTTTCTTTTTACTTGCAACACAGCCTTGTGGCACGTGTTTTGAGGTCGGGTTTATGTAATGTAAACAATTATATATTCATTATAATTTTTACAAATGATACTTAACCTTATTCTAATCTTTGTGTAAATATTATATTGATAAAATCGCTCGTTTACCCTCACTAATCATCTCCTAAAACTGCGTGCCTAAAAGGTGTGTTGCAAGTAAAAGAAAACGGAGGAAGTATTAGATAAAGTGAAAGGGAACTCAAGCCAAAATGAGCTAAAGAAAAGATCATCACAATAGAACTTACTCTTGCCAGTCATCTCGTGCTGTTCCTTCCAGATATCTCAAATACCCAGCCAATGCATTCAATACAGTTTCTGTTCCGCCAGCAACTATGTTTCCTTTACTTGTACCAAAAACAGAGTTTTTCAGCCTCTTTCTTTGAGTTTCATTGGAAATTTGACTGCTGCTCCCTAATTGTGATACCCTAGATTCCCCGGGCACAGGGCTGCCGGATTTTAGCAGCTTCATGTGATCCATTCTCAATACAGCTTCTGCTGAAGTGTGTTTCATGGAATTCCATTTCATGGAATTCCATTGTTCTTTTTCTTTATTTGCATGATAGTCCATGAATGTACACACATCATCGATAGTGGGAAGATGACCTGATATGAGTCCATGGACATTATTGATGACAAATTCAGCATAGAGTAGGAACGCTAGAATAAACATTCACGCTTCAACTGATAAAGAGACAAGGTTTAATGAGGACAAGATAGCTCACCCCAATCCAAGTCCATAAAGCATCCATGAAATCTTGGAATACCAAGCAATGAAACATCATTGTGTTGAGGTTTCTTCACATCTCCAAAGAATGCAGGTAAGTCATCTAAGCTCTACATGTTTATTAGTGAGCACAATGTTTGTCAAGCATACATGAAAGTAATGAAACAATGTAATCACTAAGATGAGAATGAGACAATCACCATCAACTTTGCATCATAAAAAGACGTCCTCCACACCTCAATCTTTGGTTTCCAATCTAGAACAGCATCTGTTGCTAGGGAATCATCAACAGTAGCAACCAAAGAACGCATATCATATTCTACCTCTTCTTCCGCAAATAATACGGTTGCTTTAATCTGTTTGAGTAATAAGTACTCATTTATAAAATTAACAAAGTGAAACTATGAATGCTCAATGTTCTCACAAACTGACTATTAATTATCGCATTTAAGTATACCTAATGTGTAACAACCTCTTTTACTAGTTCTCTTAAGATGCTTTCCACATTCCCAGATCTGATCATCAAATTGGAACCATGCTCCTTAAGTGACCTCCTTAAGTCTTCTACAGCAAGAAGAAGCAGTTCTACCATTTCATCAGGAAAACCTGCAGTACCCATATGTCACTACAAATAAGCCTCCACAATATACTTTGGTCACAATAAACACACCCATGAGGCAGTCCACATTTGCTAGCACTTTGAGGAATGACTATTTAGATAGCATGGAACAGAGAATAGCTGTAATACTAGCAGTGACAACAAAGAACCCACCTCTCAATAATCCTTGTTAGTGGAAATTTACTTTATCGGTCATTCGGACCAAACCAAAGCAAAGAGTAAAAACTAAAAAAAAAAAAGAAAGAAAAGTACAACTCTAAAGTCTATTGCAGTTCTGCCCTATTGTAAATATAGCTGTGAGAATGACTGTCATCGTAAACATCCTTTAAGCTTTAATGCCTATTGAAGCAATGGGGTCCATACTCTACACGACAATATCTATAAATCTCTAATGACACTTGTTCTTCAAATGCTACAAATCCACACTCATTTCACTAGAATTTAGCAAATTACATTAAACTAAGCTAAGAAGTGTGAGAGTCAAATTCACACAGATCATTGTGAACAAAGAAGGCCCATGTTGGCATTCTAAGGTTTGTGCCATTTGATTTATTGGAACGATATAGGGAAGACTAGACTATCATAGCCCTCGCGGAAGGATAACTCACAAAAATCGACAACAAACAAAAGTACATTGTGTAAGCCACTCTGCAAACACAATTCAAATCACAACATTTACAGGCTTGCAAATCTACTCTCAATTGTATAGTGTATATCATGGAAATAAAAAACCTTAAATAACCAATTCATAATTCTTCATTTCCCTCCTATATATATAACTAAATTAAAAAATTAAATACATTAATGAATTGGATATACAAAATTAAACCAATATCTAATTCTTCATTTCCTTCCTAAATACAACTAAAAGTAACATAACTTCTAATTCTTCATTTCCCTCCTAAATATAAAGCTTCTTCATTTCCCTCCTAAACATAAAGCTACAAATTACATACATTAATAAATTTCATATATAAAATTGAATACTAAGCGAATCACTAATCAATGTGAGACAATAAATCAAAGCAGCTTATCAATCAGAAAATTAAACCCAATTCATGGATGGTTAAACTCGTTTATTCAGATAATTTCTCCGAAATTTTACCAAAGAAATTAAAATTCAAGTAGAAAAAGAAAGAGAAATAGACTTAACGGGATAAAATGCGAGGATCAAAGACGTAAATAGGGACAACATTGGAGAAGTTGGAAGCGGCGGAAACAATGCCGGGATGATCGTCGATTCGAAGGTCATGCTTGAACCAGACAACAGCAGCGCCGCCATTGTTGTTGGTTTGAGCTGTAAATTGTGGCTTGGTTTTCGTCTTCGAGGAGAGAGAAAAGGTGCGATTGAAAGAAGGTGGTTTGGGAAGGAAAGTGGAGGGTAGAGAGAGAGAGTGGAGTTGAGTGAGAAACGCCATTTTTGGGGAGGAGAGAGAAACCACTAGATTGATGAACATTTTGCCCATGTCATAAAATCATTTTTTATTTTTCTATTTTGTGGAGGAGAAAAAAAATAAAAAATGATTTGTTAAACATCGCCCATAAATTACTACATAAAGCCCACAAAATTCACTTGGTTTGCCAAAATTGCCCTTGACTTTAAAAAAAAAAACACTCACACTCTCATCACTCACTCACACTCTCATTGCTCATCTTCTTTCAACCTCTCTAAAAAAAAAAAATTCAAATAACGGCAATGTCGAGGCGGCAAGGCAAGGAATTGGCAACGGCGACGGAGGGAAGGATGTCCCAAGGAGGAAAGGTACATTTTGTTAAAAAAAAAAAAAAAAAGGGAAAAACCGCCGTGACGGCGGTGGGGCGCCCTGGCTGGACGCCCAGCCAGCGGTGGTGGCGCCAGCTGCAGACGCCGCCACCAGTTGGCTGGCGCCTGGGCTGGACGCCATAGCCACGGTTGTGGCGTTTTTTCAAGGCGCCGCAGCCGTGGCTGTGACGTCCAGCCCAGGCGCCAGCCAACTGGTGGCGGCGTCTGCAGCTGGCGCCACCACCGCTGGCTGGGCGTCCAGCCAGGGCGCCCCCCCCCCTTTTTTTTTTTATATTTTTTTAAAAAACTGTTTTTAATTTTTTTTTTTTTTGTGTAATATATTTTTGAATTGTTTTTATATTTTGTTGTTTATTTTTATAAATTTTTTCAATTTCGTTGTATTTTTTCTACGTTTATATTTTGTTTACAATTATTTGTATGTTTTTAGTTTATTTGATTTGCGATGATGATTATTTATCGTATAAATTTTTGTATGTTTATATATTTTAAAATTTTGTGTAGAATTCACTGGGTCGTCATGGTGCGGGGAAGAATATAGAGCTTCTTAGTAGAAGTTATTCAGTGGAGAGGTCGGGGCATAGACATGTCAGATCCCGTGGTATTTTGGCCTCAGCTCGTAGAGAACGGATCCACCGTCGGGATGAGGATGACGATGATGATGCTGAGGAGGGTGACCAGGAGGAGCAGGAGGAGGGCGCAGATGAGGATGAGGATGTGGACGATGGCAGTGGACCGTATGATGATTACGGTCCATTCAGTCAGAGGGTTGATGACATGTACGAGACGCATATGGTGGAGGTGCGTAAGGGTAGGGGTGGTAGGTTTGTTAGTAGATCTGGCACATCATCTGCGTCCACTGTATCTGGGGCAAGCAGGAAACGGTCGAGGGCCGGTAATGATTCTTGGGTTGTTAGGAGTGAGGTGCCCGGTGGGCCTGTTGACGGGAGTGTGATTCCTAGCTTTCTAGGACACATAGCTGCCCGTATTTGGGAGGACCAGGAGAGGCCTTCAGTTACGGGGTTGTTGAAATGTCATACCCGGGAAAAGACTTGTAGCTTTTTGCGTACATGGGCTGAGGCCTGGCCGGCGGAGAGCGAGATGTTCGAGCGACTGGAGGGCACTGGGGTGAATCACGTTCCTGCCACCATGCACGATAAGATTGACAGTACGCTGATCACGGCTTTCATTGAGCGATGGCAGCCGGATACAAACTCTTTCCACCTTCCGTTCGGTGAGATGACGATCATGTTACATGACGTCGAGGCCATTCTGGGGATTCGTGTTGAGGGTAAACGACTTTGTGCTGTGGCTGATGCGGATCAGGCAGATTCGCTGGCGGAGTTGTTGGCGGTGGACAGGGCTGCACTGTACACCGAGGCGCTAGGTGTTTGGGAACACAGAGGTGTGAAGATCGCATCCGTGTTGCAGCGGTGTTTGTACCCCAGTGCACGTAGGACGCCCGACGCACAGCTGAGTGCTTATGTTTTTCTACTCCTCGGATGTACCTTGTTTCCGGATAAGAGCGGCGGAAACAAGCTCAGGCCACGCGACATAGTAGAGGCGTGTGACCCCGACAGTGTAGGCCAGTTTTCCTGGGGATCGGCTACGTTGGCGTATTTGTATCGCCAACTAGGATTTGCGAGTCGGGCTGACGCGGCAGGTATCACTGGGTGTCTAACTCTATTGCAGACCTGGATATACGAGTACTTTCCTGCATTGCGACCACATCGTGACCCAGTTCCTATTGATGAGGGGATGCCGCGTGCTTGTGCGTGGAGTCCGCGCTCGGAGAAGAAGTCCGTTGACCGCCTCCGATCGATACGGTTATTGCTGGACAGGCTGTCCCCCTTAGAGGTAACGTTTATTTATAGAGTTTACATTTTATTATTTGCACATATTATATTCATGTTATTAAATTTTATATGTTGTTATTGTACAGGTGAACTGGATGCCTTTCGGCCCGAACCCTAGTGTTAGGGTACCCAGGACCCTGTACACGGGACTCATTCAGTATCGTGAGATCGTCGAGGCGTACATGCCCCAGCGTTGTCTTCGCCAGCTTGGATTTGTCCAAGTTGTCCCTCCTCCCCCGGCATGCCCGATGAAGGCGGTCCGACCTGCATCGTCGAGGGACTACGTCGTGCAATGGCCGGATATCATGACCGGGACGTGGGACCAGTTTCCGATGGTGGCCCGCTTATGGACTGCGGAGTTGCAGCGGCCGCCCTCTGGGGTTACTCCCATGTGTGACCATTACTACATGGAATGGTTCAACCGGTATTCGCACTCGAGGTTGATCGCAGATCTCGACCACAGCGATGATGATTATGTGCCACCGCCTACTGCCACGGAAGCGGTATGTCTTTTATTATATTTATCGTTGTCTTTTAATTAAGTTTTATATGTTGTTATTGTATTTCATCTTCTGTTTTTTGTTGTATGCAGTGGATGGGAAAAATAATGCAGGACGTACAGAAACTCTCTCTTGAGAAGGACAGCATGAGTGCAACAGGGAGAGCTGTTGTTGATAGTCTGGAACACACCCTTGCGCAGTGGGAGTCGTCGTCGAGGAGGGATTACTGATGGTTATTGTATTTTATTTATAGAGCATTATGTTGGACATTATGTTGTAAAATTGTAACATTTTAGATTGTTCTTTTAGCTTCCAACTTAAACATATTATCAGTGCTGTTTTTAAATTTTGATATAACCGTTCGTGGATCCGCGCAACTTACCCATGCAACATATAGAATGCAGTAAGCAATACAATATAAAATATTAATGTTCTCATTAAAAGAGCAACGTACAAATAAGATTACAAATAAAGAATGTAAACATGAAAAACTAAAATGCAGCTAGGGTGTTCCATTCGTGGATCCGATCACGATATAGCGCATCCCAACCCTCTACGCTCGCTGTGCGAATGTTGTACCACCGAGGTATAATCGGTGGCACTGGAAAATCGGTTGACATGTCTAGTCGGATGAAATGTCTGTATGACGATCCAAGAAACGCAATAGCTAGCTCTCTGACCGGTGTGGTGACAATCTCACGCGACCGCCAAGGGAGAACCGTGGTACAAGGATAATAAGCTTGACTATGCACTCCCAGGCCGAAATGCATGACTGCGCATTTGTAAATGTTTGCAACGGCAAACAGATCTAGGGGCGCGTCAAAATAATGATTTTCGCCGCAAGGTCCACCTCCCCACCGGATACGCCGCAGAGCGCCATCCAAGTCATCCTGGTACACATGACGATAAACATTTCGGTTAGAGGCAATTTCGCTGTACATCAACTCACGCACCAAACCGTAGTTGTCTTCGCCCATTTGAAAAACATCAGCCACGACCCGGAATCCGCAGTTACCATCTCCGATTACATCATTCCACCCTTCCAAGTACGACATGATGATCGCAGGTATCCTTTCCTTGTACGAAAACTGATCAACATCGTTTCTTCCTATTCACCATATAATTATAGACAGTTAAGAAGGCAGGAGTAACACTTTAAAACTATGTGCAATAAAAACAACCAAAACGTACCAGTTCTCAGGGGCATATTCACAGACGATGAAGATTGACTACGACTAGATGACGATGTCCGACCACGAGAACGACCACGACCAAGACCACGGATATACTCAAACGCACTCCTGTTCCGCCGTTGTCGACCTCGAGGACGGTCAACTCCTTCGGGTTCCTCATAATCTAAGTTAGACGGGTGGAACATGTCATGAAGTACATGAGTAGCGTCACGAATAATAGAAGGATGGCTGGAGGACACTCGGTCGTCCATCGAACGGAACTGCTCCAACTCCTCCTGTTCACGGTCGGCCGTTTGATTGTCTGCATGCTCACCAATAACAAGCGTCCTCCAGAATGAATGGACCTGATCAACATGTAACGACGCCCTTTCTTCTGTAATAACGCGGTGAATGGTGCATGCGCAAGGTAATCCATGAGTTACTGAAATAGTACACCCACACCGAGCATACACTTCGTCAGCCAAGTCCCTCACCCTGTTCAGCTCAGTGAGAATCAACCCCAAGCAGTAGTGCGACACACGACCATGGAGAATCTTAAATATAAAATGGCTATACATCGTACCATGTCGTCGTCTGGAGTCCTCTAGAGAGTTCCTGATGTCGTTCTTCTGAGTTTCAATTGACTTGTTCAGTCTAGCGAACAGTGTATCCAAAGCAGCGGTCGATGAATCAATCCAGTCCTTGGTACCATCTCAACCAGTGGGAACTTGTACTTGTTTGTCTTGTACGTTGAGTCGATCAAAATCACAAATGGCCAAGACTTGATCATATCAGCACAATCAGGATGCACAAGGAAAAGATGAGTCACCTCCGCTGTATCTTCATCAGAATCAAACCAGAACAGGTAACCACGTGATTGTGCCTGGTGTAGCAGCTGCTGTATAGGGTTCCTTCCCTCTGACCGTTCAAACCTGAGTTGCTGTCTGACGTTGTAGATGTGTCTTCGGTTTGGATGGTCTTCTGGAAATTTCTCTAACACAGATGCTAATATTTTAGCAGGCTTCACTTGAGCATCACTCATTTCTTTCACAACTAGTTTCGCAGCAGGACTTAAGCCGCTCAGTTGTCGATGACCCCCTTCATATACTATCATCTCATGGTTGTGATACCCCCATTTAGAGTAACCAATCACTTCCCAACCGTCACGACTCCGTAGTTGTCGAACCTTTACTCTGAACTCACACCCACAACCTTTCCGCTTTGTATCAAACCGAGTGGCTGTACGAAAATCTCTTTCTTCTCTTTTGCGATAACGGTCACATCTCAAAATGCGATCCATTCTACCATCCCGTTGAGATTTATGAGTTACTACTACCAAGCAAAATCCAGCTGCAATTGCAACCTGTTTTGCCCAATCAATCGCCTGTTGAGCTTCTTCGAATGGACCATCATGTCCAAATATCCCACTGTAATCATTTCCGTCTCCACCATATTCCTGCATCAATTATATATTACAATAAATTCATTTAACGGATAATACATTTAATTTCTATATTTACACAGAATTAACACAAAAAAAAGCATAATTATATATAATCAAACTTAATTTTTATAAAAACCCAATTCGAATTTTCAAACTAAATTTATAAATATACCATTTCGAATTTTCAAATTTAATTTTAAAAAAACCTATTTCGAATTTTCAAATTTAATTTAAAAAAAACCCATTTCGAATTTTTTTAAAAAATCATTTTCGATTTTTTTTTTAAAAAAATTAAATAAAAAACAACAACAAAATCAAAAAAGAAAAAAAAATTAAATTTATAAGGGTGGCGTCTGCCAGGGCTGCCACAGCCACTGGACTGGCGCCTGGCAGGGCCGCCTCACCCAGTGGAGTGGCGCCTGCCCAGGACGCCAGTCTGGTGGTCTGGGCGTCTGGGCTGGACGCCACTTTGGTGGTTCTGGCGTCTGGCTTGGACGTCCAGGCTACGGTTTGGGCGTCCACCCTAGGCGCCGGAGCCACTCCGACGGTAAACCGTGAATTTTAACGGTGACTTACCTCGTTTTCCGTCGACGACGACGTACCTCCGGCGTCCCCCGCATCTCCGGCCTGCCCTCCGGTCTCCCCCGGCGAGCCAGTACGGCTCCACATTTTTTACACCGAGATTATTTCAATTTTAGAAAAAGGGCATAATGGTCAAACTATATCATATTTGTGGGCTTTATATGGTAAATTGCGGGCGATGTTTAGCGTTTCACAAAAAATAAGGGGAATAAAATACGGAGTAACACGGAGTACATCATTCATATCGAAAGGAGGCTGGGATGAATAAGGTGATAGAGTAATACTTCAGTAATCAGTAGTATCGTTCTCACGGTCTCACCTCATATCCTTGATTTTTAACTATAGGTCTAATACGAAGTACTCGTAATTAATACTATAGGCCTAATACGAAGTACTCGTAATTAATACTATAGGCCTAATACGAAGTAATTAATAATGAAGGTTTGTGTACTATAAGTTATAATTTTTCGGTATTAAGTGGAATCCCCGACACATGGAAATTGTTTATGTCATTTATCGTATCCAACCCCCAAAATTTGAGTTGTTTATGATTTCACTTAAAACTTCGTGTTATACACACCTAAACAATAGTTTATGCTGTTCTTACCAAATTTGAGTAAGTGAATATTGGACAAAATGTATACTGTATTGTTTTAGTCAAACCTTATTGGGATTTGGGAGTAGTGTACACTCTTCAAGTTTCATGTTTCTGAATTCTAGGATAATTAAAATGGATAGAAAAAAGAGGGAAAATGACCCAATTCCAAGAAAACATGGAACAAAATAATAAACCAAAAGTCTGAGAGAAATGTAAAAATACCAAACAAAATAAACTAGAAAAAAAATGGCACTGCTTTCCCTTCAATCCTCTTCCTTCACCAATAAACCTCATCTCTTACTCTTCAAAACTCTTCCAACCAAACCCAAATTCACCATCTTTTGTCTAGATTCATCATCTTCAGAATCTCAATCTTCAAAACCCATCATTAATAATGACCCAATTGAGCAATCTTCTGATAAAAAACCCATTTCTTCAACCGGGCAAGGATTCGGGTCAACCCAATTACCCAAACCATCATCCTCAACTGGGAAGAAGAAAGGGAAGAGAGAAAGAGCTTCAATTATACGGCGTAATCCAGTGGAAAAACCAGCTTTTTTGGGTAAAAAAAATGGGGTTGAGGAAGATAATCAACAAGGTGTGAATGAAAGAGCTTTTTTGCTTACTTGGTTGGGCCTTGGCTGTGTTATTCTTGTTGAGGGCATTGTTCTTGCTGCCTCAGGTATTTGATTATCATATATTATTTTTTATTTTATGTACTTAATTAATTTATCATACGGTCAATTTAATTCAAGAATTTGAGTATTGTATTTATAGTAATTCCTCTGTATGTTTGGAAATTAGTAAGCTTTTGCTAATGATGTGTAGAGGAGTGTTTTTTTAAGTATGTGAATTATCAATATATCATGCTTTATACTTTGTTGGTGTAAATTTTAAGTGAATTAGCCTTTTGAATCAGAGGTCTACTGAATTGTGTTAGAGATAGCATACATTTGACCTTCCTAACCCGCCCGGCGACAGCAACTAGGAGGTATCTTTGTTAGAAGAACAATGATTAAGTTCTATGTGGTAGAATCCCGGTTCGGTGCCTAGTTTAATTGTTTCTGGTAATTTTTGTCATTAAGATTGGAGCATGGCCTTAATTAAGCTTTGAAATGCCAATGCAATGGGGTACATGAATTGTGAGGACTAGGAAAGTAAAATAGGTGAACCTGGCAAACTCTTATCACATTAGCAAAGATAATTGTATTTAGTTTATCAATGTTGTAAATACAAAATTTAGCAAACATGAAGAGAATTTTTGTACCAGTGTAGGTACTGATGATAGACTAGAAAGAGTCTGCTTTTTGTGACCACAAAATCATACACCCACCTTTCCTCCTGGATCCTAGCTGCTTTGGCTAGTATTGGGAAACCGGAAACATCAGTTTATCTTATGGCGTGATTGACACCATCAAGTTTGTCAAACTATAAGTTGGGTGTAAGGAGATATCGCATTTGTAGCATCAACATTGCTTTGGTTCTCGCTTTGAATGCAGAGAATTCCTCTTAATATGGACTGGTAATATATTTTGCTTAGAGATGACAAGAACTGTCCTACCATGAGAGATGTAAGTGTGAGTGTATGAGGGGTTGGGATAGATGATTAAAAGAATCAAAGCATTTTAATGATGTACATAGATGTCAAGGCCATGAGGTAGGAACTGTATGCAACCCGTGCCTCTTCAATTAGCAGCCTGGTTGTCTATCTTTGATTGCGGGAAGCTAGTCAAATGCTGTAGGAATGTAGGATATACATCATTTGAAAGTTGCTTCAAAGGTCAACCAGAACCCTACGTGCTTTCCTCCTTAGGGTCAAGCCTGCTTGAGTTGTGGTAATGTTGGTCTTCCCTGACCTTAGCTGTTAGCTTAAACAATAACCATCTTTGTGATACTCTCCTTCAAGAATTTTGCTTGATGGTGATGTTCTGAAATTGACAACTTTAATTTATTTACCGCTCTCCACTACACTTTGTAAACAAGCAGTTTAGCCAGTGTTATTACTGCTTTTTAACTATGATCTGATTCTTCACATGTTAAGGAATCTGCGATGCTGTCTTTTAGGCTCAAAAGTTGTCTTCTTTTATGTTAGTGACCTTTTGTTCTTTCATTTCAACAGGATTACTTCCAGAAGAGTGGGATAAGTTCCTCGTAAAGTTTCTGTACCCATCTTTCACTCCCACAGTGTTCTTGTTTGTTGCTGGAACAGTCGTATATGGTGTTCAGAAATACTTGCAGAATGAAAATGCAAGAGAAGAAAAATGATGGTTTTCTTAATTAGAGCCGCTGGCACATTTGATATTGCCCCTCTGTTCTTAGCACTCTCACATTCACTGATGCTGGATTGTATACATTTTTATTGTCATTGAACTCAATTGAGAAGCAGTGATTGACTCAAAGCTTGCACTTTGCTGGGTGCAGGGTAGAGACTTTTGTTACCTGTATTCCTATTGTCTAGTGTATGTAAAGCTGTATTTATGTAAATTTGAGATGGTGAATTAGATGTATGTTCAGCTCTACTGATTTAAAACACTGCAAGTTTTAACATTTTTGATAATGTAAGCAACTGCAGACTTGGTGGCATGATGTCTTCATTTTTCAATAATGATTCCCAATATTATTATTATGCTTGCTTAACTTATTCATTGCACAAATGGTGCTTTAATTGTTATAGAACACGGCATTATATTTGAGTCTTCTGCAACATGTATGTTTGCATGAAGGAGTTAACTGTTGAAAAAAACAGTTTGATGAAGATCAGAAAAGTGCAGACGCACTGCTGCAGGACTGAATGTGGCATTGTGAGGATGCAAGTAAATAGACCTCTTTCATTCAGGAATCAGGATCGACTTATTCTTTACTTTCTAGAGAGACAGTGCTAATTTGGAAACTGAGTTTGAGTTCCTGCCATTGCATCATCATGGCTTGTTTTGGTAAGAACCTTCCTGTCAGTTTTAACTTTTAAGATGTAATAAGAAGAAAAGTACTCCATATTAAATAAACAGTAAGCCAGTAGCTGTTGATGAGGAGATTTGCTTCTGTTATCTATCCCAGGTCAGAAGCCTCATGTTCGGCTTCTGTTATCTATTCCAGTTCTGAAGCCTCATGCTCGGTTTTAATTGACACTACTCTAGAACACAGATAACAAATCCAGTAATGCTGTCAAAACCTTTGTTATCTGAAGCCGCTTGGTTTAGATGGTACAGATTCACCAGTAAAGTTCATAAAAAATTCATTAATCCTTATTCAAGGATTTATGTGACTAGTTAGGACTTTAAAGTGACAGATCTATTATAAAAACATGTGACAATAATCGTTGCCGACCCGAATTCATTAACATCTACCGTACTCAACAATTTAAGGGCAACACGACATTTAGAAATTTCAGTAACCATGCCTAATGTGGTGAATACCGCATTTGCCGTCGCCTCGTCGACATCTAGAATATTCAGCAACCATTTCTGGATAAGAAAAGGTCCACGATTATCAACTGTCATATCCAAAAAATCAAACAATCATACATTCTTCACTTCCCCTAAAAAACCAACAATTCATTCTACCCCTTTAATTGTATCCCCAATTTTACCCAAATTTTCTTTCCTCACTAAAATCACCCAAAACAACCACTTTTTTAGGAGACAAAACATGTCTTCCAACACATTCACATTCGAATCTGAATCTGAATCTGAATCTGAGTGGAACTACTCTGAATCAGACATCGCCCAAAAGTTTCTCTTCTTCAATGTTCTGAAAGACGGTCGTATCCATGTCTTATGTCCCCCATCTCATAAAGTCAAAGTTCCACCTTCCTTTGGCTCTACAGCCGACGTCGTAGTCAAAGATGTTCAAATCTCATCTGATGTATCAGTCAGAATCTTCCTCCCTTCATCGTATGCATCTGCAAACGCGTGCACCACACACAAACTCCCTGTCGTGTTATACATCCATGGCGGTGGCTTCTGCATGCAATCCGCCTTCTCGGAGGATTACACGCGATTCGGCTCCCAGATCACTGCAGAAGCCAACGCCATGGTTGTCTCGGTTGATTACGGACTATTCCCTACACGCCCTATCCCCGCGTGTTACGAAGATTCATGGACCGCACTCGAGTGGGTGACGTCCCACAGTAAAGGCTCAGGTCCTGAACCATGGATCAACGATCATGCTGATCTCCGCCGAATCTTTGTCGGCGGAGATTCAGCAGGAGGAAACATATCTCACACATTATTATCCAAGGTAGGATCGTTAGGACTACAAGGGGATGCAAAGGTTGAAGGGATGATATTAATTCATCCTTATTTTGGGGAAGATGATAAAATGTGGATGTTCATGTGTCCTACAAATTTAGGGCCTAAAGATCCTAGGATGAAACCTGCTGTAGAGGATCTAGCTCGAATCGGATGTGACAGGGTGCTGGTGTTGCTGGCTGAGAAAGACGTTTTGTATGGTGTTGGAAAGATGTATGTTGATGAATTGATCCAAGAGTGGGTGGAAAGGTAAGGTTGAGATCATGGAGAACAAAGATAAGGAGCATTGTTTTCATTACTCTAATCATATGGATCTTGAGGCTGTTGCTATTCGTCAACGGGTCGCTTCGTTTATCCATAATCAGAGTTGATTAACTAAGGTGATTGATAATGTGTTCTTCTGTTTCAAATCTTGTTATACCATAGTTGTTATCTAATGGTTTCCTTGGCTGAATTTCGGGAATTTATTTGCAATTGGAAAAATCTTGTATAAGATGGACTTGAATATTAAAAATAATTTGTTGGGAAGATGATTGAGCATTGATCAACTTGTTGTTTATTAGTTAGTTGTTTGTAGATGTTAAGTATTGAGAGATGATAGCTTTAGTTTAATCATGGCTATTGGATATTTTTCATTTTGTTTTACTTCATAGTTTAAATTTAGTTAATGTGTTATATGAGCCACTTTGAATCTTATGACCCCTGCATTGATGAGAAATTGGAGAAACCATGGAAAATTGATGAGAAAGGAAAAAAAAAAAAAAAAAAAAAAAAAACTCAATTCACAAGGACATCTCGTGGGTACTTTGCCTAATATTATGATTGGAAGGTGGGACTATGGGAGCCCCTAACAGGCTAACATTATGATTGGGAGGTGGGAGCTCTGTATCACTGCATTAATCTGTCACTATTTAGCTTGTGAGTATTTTCTCCAAGTTTGTTTGCATTTAAAATCAAAAGCCACAACTTGCTTCTGTACTCCCATTTTGGAAGCCGGAATTCGAACACCCAACCTTGTATAAGAAAGATTATTACTTAACCATCTAAACCAATCATAAAATATGTTACAATCATAAAATATGTTATTATGAAAATAAATGTATATAATTGATAATCACAAGGTCTAATAAAAGTAGCAACCGGTGTAATGCCTGGGCTACACACTAGTTTTATTTTTAAATCCCGTGGCATGGATAGGTACTCCCTGATCTGCCCGTGTTAGTAGCCATGTGAAGGTGAATTAGATTATGCTTGTAAAAAGTCAATGTAAATGTCAATATAACACATTAAAATCTAGATCACTAACACACATCATACTAAACATGTCTTCAAACACCAACCCATCTGAATCTGAGTGGAACTACTCTTGTTTGGGTCCAATTTAGTCCAATTGGGCCTAGGCATTAAATGATCCAATTAAAAGCCCAAGGTCAAGGTTCAACTCTCCAATTGTGCTAAAGTCAAAGGTCAGCCCTCAAAGTAAGCCAATTGGGCAAAGGCCCAACCTCTCCATGTATAAAGAGGTATAAAAGCCATCAATATTCATACATTAGGGGATTGATTGATAGATTCATATATTCTCATATATTCAAGCAAAGCCTCAAGCAACTAATTCTCTTGCATAGTGTTCTCTTTCTACACATTGTACTGACTTTAGCATCGGAGGGGCCTTCCTCGGCAACACCCCCGAGGCTAGTTTACGTGTGTTTACTGTGCAGGAAACCTTCGGCCCAGCATAACTTGGACCGAATCCAATCTTCTCCGTTTCAGCGGACCTTCAGCAAGGTCCCATTGTTTTCACCCGAAACAATTTGGCGCCGTCTGTGGGGAAGACTTTCAAAAATCTTTAAGCCAAATTTCTAACCAAGATCATCTTGCAATTATCTTAGTAGCAATGGCTAAGAACCGCAAGAGCAAAAGCCTCCGTCAAGGAGCGGGCGAAAAGCCTAAAACCCCTACACCATCACCCTCGCCGGAGCGGAACTCTCCCAAGGGTGCCAGCTCGGGGGAGGATCATACAAGGAGGATTCCCTTTCTCCCGTAATTCATGACTCTCATTATAGGCCGAGTCACTCTCGGTCTAGCAGGGGTGAGTCCGATCATAGGACACATTCAGTGCCCCAAAGCCAACCATCGGCTGCGCGCCCTCATTCCCATACTCGGCCGAGGACCCCTTTGACGGGGCCCAGCTCGGAAGAGGTGGCAAGAGCGCTGTCAGTGCTCATGGAGGCGATGAGGGCACAAAATATGCCACCACCTCGTGATCGAACTCCTCCGCATACCCGGCATCAGCGGAGGAAGTTAGACCATGATGGTGGGAAGCTTCCTTCCTTCCTTCCAAAGCCAACCAGGGGCTAGCCGTTTTTGCAATTCAGAATGGCCTTCAGCCCGGAAAGTTCCTAGATTTCATGGTCATGCATACCCCGCAGACCTTGGAGGAAGCTCTGAATGCCTCGGATAAGTTCATCCGAGCCGAAGAATGGAACAAAGCAAAAACCCAACCTCAATTTGGGGGAGGGAAACAAAGGCAAATACCCTTGTCTGAAGGCCAAGGCCATAAGGCAAAGGGAAAGTCAAAGGCCCCGGAGCAATCTTTGGCCAGCGACCCAAAGAAGGAAAGATCTGCCTCATACACAGGCAGATACGAGTCCTACACTCCGCTCTCTCTTCCACGCGCCAAAATTTACAGCGTGACGAAGGAGGAGCAGAGTTACCGAAAGCCGAGACCACTCCCAGAGTGGTATCAGCGAAAAAATAAAAATCAGTGGTGCGAGTTCCACGAGTCTTCGGGACACAACACTGAGGAGTGTATCCAACTGAAGGACCAGATAGAGGACATGGTCCGGAAGGGATACTTGAAAAAATACATCGCGGATCACCGCGAGAAAAAAGAATCCGAGAAGTTAGCAAAGGACTCTCGGCAAGACCTCGACTTCCCCCGGAAAAACAGTAAAAAGCCGGAGGGGAAATTCCCTCCGATCAATGTTATCTCGGGAGGAATATACTCTCGGAGGGAGCACAAGCGACACCTTAGAGCTTTGACTCACCAGGTGAACAACGCTGACATTCAATCTCCCCAGTCGCCGGTGCCGAACATGACGTTCACAGCCGCCGACTGCCTGGGGATTACGTTCCCTCACGAGGATCCGTTGGTGATCATTGCCACGGTGGCCAACCACGACGTTAGTAAGGTCCTTGTTGACGGTGGCAGCGGAGCAAACATTCTGTTCCGAAAGGCCTACAATCAAATCAAGTTGAAGCCCAAGCATCTTACGCCGGTACCCTACCCGGTATCCGGGTTCAACGGGGCTTCAACTTATCCAGATGGGAAGGTGACACTTCCTGTCACCATCGGCTGCGATGAGGCAGCCAGGAAC